ATTCCGCCCGATGCTTTTAAGTACCCCAATTTTTTACAGATTTTTAAACGGACCAAAACTCTCTCAATGCGCATTTATGCTCTTTTCTCTCGGGAACGCGACTGTCTCATTTTCACGATAACTTTTATTTTGTACTTCTAACATATAAGATCTATTTTTCCCCATCAAGGTATGATGTAAATGACATGCTATTTACATCTTGTGAGTTTCAATGACGCGCGTTTGATTTTATAAAAAATGCCAAACTTTGTGACAAAGAATTTCATCCTGCTTGCAGCGAGAAGACGGACCGGTTCGGGGCAATCTGCTTGCAGCGAGAAGACGGACCGGTTCGGGGCAATAGCTGATGAAATTCTTTGTCAAAATTTTCAAAATTTTTCAAAATTTAAATACATATTCACCAGCCTGAAATAACTGTGATGATAAAAACTGACAATGTCTTAATGAGTTCCTCTGGTTTTGAAGATTTCGTCAACTAAAATTGTATCAAATACAGAATATCATATCATTTTGAGTGAAATAATTTCATCGACGAGTTGATATTTAACATCAACATTTTTCATCATACAGAATGCGGCTGATAAACATTTTTATCGGATCTTGCGATTTATTTTAATTCATGATGGTTAGATTACAAACAATTCTATATTAACATCGAAATATCTATCGCTGCAAGAATGCCAACTATACCGTTTTCTGTGTTAGGTTTATACTCGTCACAAACGAATTTTACAACTTTTGAGGCAATAGGGATTAGATCATCGAAGGAAGATAGATTACTTTGTAGGTCAAACACTTGCAATGCCCCTCAATTTCTCCAATCCCGGATGCAATTGCCAGCAGCAATTGGATGTATCTCTTGGAGATACGATGTCCTTGGCACCGGTTGGCAAAGTATAACTGTCGGTTGACAAAGAAAGCACTATTGCAGCCCAACATAGCGATGGAAGCCTTTGGGTTAGCCTTAGGTGATATCACGGTGTTATAGCATGACGGGTACGACAAGGTATAATTGGCAACATTTTGCGGTAACGATAACAAAAAATGGCGGATGGGAAAGACAGCATGTCCTCTTTTTCGCCTGTAGGCATGATTCACAAGCAGGATTTCCTTTTCAACTACTTCCATTCGGTGATGCATATGTGAATGGTTATAAAGACTGAGTTAAATCTGTCGTGTGGTCTACAAGAAGCAGAATATAAGCTGTAAACCTACCAGGCTGAGATTTCGAAGTTCATAATTTTTAGTCCATTTTCGTGTTTCTCAGTACATGTGCCTCAGAGCCACTCAAAATACTAACTTTACGTAAACTGTGTATAAACAAGCCATAAAATGACAAATCCAGAACAGAAATGTGGTGAATATTGTAGATAATAAGGTTTCAATCGCAAGGTCGTTAGACGGCTACGTATGTATTGCATGATTTTTTATGGACGGCAACGCATTGTATTAGTTTTACATTAGATGTTAGCGGACGGTTACATGCAAGTTCCTGTCAAGTCAAGGTCGCTAGATGGATAGCTCTCTATGTGTGAATTACCTATATTTGTTTTCAGGACTCGCAAGAGACGCTCTTGCTTGAGCCTCTATAGGGCAAGGAAAAAATAGCGAAAGCCAATGAAAGTGAAAATGATTGTAATGAAGAGGCAAAGGAAGAAATTAATAACAATGAACAGGCGACGGAAGAAAACAACTCCAAATTGATTGATCAAGATTACATTACCCTTCGAAAAAGTCGTATTAGTTAATGCTTAATCCTTTTACTATAGCTGAAATATAGTGACATAGCAAAATTCTATATATTGGTGTTAACATTGAGAATTATTTATATTGTTGTTAAAACGGACTTACAGTCAAATCTATTTTATAGATTTCTCAGATGTTATCAATTTATGCATAAGTTCTAGCAGCTTTTATTCTTCAAGCTAGGTTCAGGTTATATAGTATATATATGAGACTTGAGGTGGACTTGCTGGGAAATCAGTTCATATCAAGGTCAAGGTCAAAATCTAGGACAAATCTAAGTTAAAACTAACGTTTCTCATATCATTTCCTAATCCTTCATTATTTTTGCAGTGATTTAAGATATATAGAGATTATCCTATATGAGGTTCAGGATATAAGGATTATCACAGGACATACATCAAATATATTATATTGGCCTAGGGATAATCCCAATATATTGAACCGACTATTGTATGATCTGTTTATCCCCTATCCCTAGATATATTTCGCAAAAAAAACAGAAATTCACAATAATTGCGTATTGAGATTATGAAATTGTGGGCAGATATATAGAGGTTATTTAATGGAGGTTTTTGATACAGGGTATATCTGAGGAAAATACAATATATGTAACCGAGGGACCCGTAGGGACCGAGGGTACTTACAGAGGGATATACCCTGTGAAAAAATTGAGCATTTAATAACTGATTTATCCTGTAGTAGTTTATGGGGATTCAGTATGCATTAAATGTTATGGAACCCTCATGTTAATAATTACATATCATAATTACAATCAAAACATGAATAATGTATGTCAATGTAAACATTTATTGTTTTTAAAACTAGCATGTGAAATTTTTTTTAATCTAACATGTGAACCTAATGAAATTCCACGGGATTGCTGATCTCAGCGGGAGATATATATTATTATTTCACCCGCCCACCTCCGTTTTCAATTATATTGCCATGCTATTTACCTAGAACACTTCTAAGTATAGGATAAACATGTATATATCTACTCACTCCCCGTGGGACGTAAAGCTATATCCTATCCGCTGTTTAAATATAACTTTTTAAAAACCTGCTTTACACACCTCAATCACGTTTTAGTATGGGTTAAAACATTATAAAACCCACCAGAGGGTGCCTACCAATCAGGCAGTTTTTCAGAAAGGATGAGTCAAAAATCTTACCCAAGAAACGTGCAAAAATTAAATTGCTTTAGAATTCACTGTCACCAAGACGCGGACTTGTCTCATGAATGGCCATTTCTGTACTTAAAAGAATGCATTTTAAAGAAGAAAGTAAAAGATGTGATTAAAATGTTATAAAAAAACTTTATTTCAAGGTTCTACCAGGAATAACATGAGTAAATAAAATAAACATATCAAAATAAAATAAACATCAATGTACCATGTCATTTGATATGATACATGTATAATATGATGTGAAGAATGTCAGATGGATGTTAATGTTTTTTCATACATGTCATATGTGCATGTAAAGTATGGCGATAGTTAAATCGTTCACCGCAACTTGAACAGATGTATTTCTCAGGATCCATGTGGAAAATCAAATGTTCTTTCAAAAATCGGTGTGCCTTAAATTTTTTGGCACAGAACTCACAAACGAAATCTTTTGAGGACGTTTTACAAACTTTCAAATGACGTGTTAGACCCCCAGTGGTCGCGAATGCTTTATCGCATTATGTACATTTATGTGGTTTTCCCCACTGTGTACAAGTGCGTGTCTTTCCATATCTATTTTCATCGAAAATCCTTTGGCACAAATTTCACAAACTTTGGCTGTCCTAAATGAGTTGGCAATTTATGCAATTTCAATCCGTTTTTTGCTGTGTATGATACGTCGCCCACGTCGCACTGGAACTGAAATTACAAACACAAATCATATTCAGCTGTTTATGTCACCATCTTCATAATACGATTTCATCTATTATAGCTTACAAACTCAAATCCGGTTGAAAAACATTTCAATTTTGGATCACAAGCGATATGAAATGAATCGGTGTTACATATATGAACGAGGTTCGCGTAACTGTCTCAATTTTTGGCGAATTCGCAAATTCAAAATACATTATTATGGCTTGAGTAGAACATATTAAGTGGTTTACAATGCTTAATTTGCTTTGTATGATCGTATGTAGGTTACATTTATATACACCAAGGTTGTTTGGCAATGTAGAGCATGCCCTAACGAGGAAAAGAAAGAAATTACTAAATTTTATGAAGTTTTGAATTTCAAAATCGACAGTTTTTAGCTTATTTCATGTTATCCATGGGCGTCGATTTGCAAAGACTACGTTCAAAATAAACATTACTGAATGCATCACCGAATGCGACACTTACATAAATCTTTCATGCTTTTATTGATACGCAGTAGTAGAAAATAATGCACCTACCTTAGCTTTTTGTTTCATCGCGGCCATTTTATTGGATAAATCAGTGATCGTAGTCGACTAACCTCGTTTTCAGAGGTGGCGTATCTGTCATGCTATAACACCGTGGATATGTTGCCAACAGAAAATGACTTAATTATGACTTTGTAGAAATCTTTCATTTTCTTGGTGGTGTTATGCTAATACTACGATCCATTACATACATCAGGTCAATCGGTACCTCAAATTTGTTTGCCAATCAAAAGGAAGAGAGGTATTCATTAGGGGCAATACTCGGATTCAATGCAATTTTCAAAAAATCCAAAAAATCGACATGTTTTCAATAATAGAAATGTCATATTTTTAATTGTAACTAGCTAATGTTCACCGTGATGTTAGCAAGAAAGTTAATTATTAATTAAATACTTATAGTCCCGAACTGTTTACATTATACATACTAAATTATTGCACATTAAATAAAAGTCCCTTTGGCGTCGACGTATAAGAGACTCAAAGTCGGGTGACACACGCGAAAGTGAAGTGAGCATCTAGCACGTCAATAAGACACAGTTGTGCATAATAATTGACAAGATGCGTAACATTCTGATACTCATAGCATCTCTCTCTGTTGCAGAAGGATAGAATTGGAGAGGGTGTGGCTTACCACGATGGATGCATAGTAATTAAACACATTGAAACATTTGGTAGATTTGTTTAATGACCATATTTCTAACTGTCACATAAACATAGAAAATCGTGCACATAGTAAATACATGTACTCTTCAGAAAGCATAAATAGCATTGGATGACATTAAAAATTGATACATTTTGTTTTTTTGAACTATTGAATGCACTCCCTAGATATTGCTCATATTAAATATCAACATTGAAATACACATATAATAGCATATCCTAACAAAAACCAAAGTATTACTGAATGTCCTGAGATTAAAACAGTTGAGGATGTGCATGGAGGGGGTGGAGTTGCATCAGCAGTTGAGTTGGTTATAGTAATACGTGATTGCACCCCAGCGGTGATAGGCGACATTTTTCTAACGTATCTTTCAAGCACATCGCTGTCAATGTCCCCTGGAATAGATATATATGAAACTCATACACTGTTGTCCATACACATTGACAATTGATATGTCTAAACCTATGGTATGGAACTCTTACCACTAAATGAATCTGAGTTAGAGTGCCTTGAAAGTGGCCACAGGGGAATAGCTAAAAAAATTCAAGGAATCCCCAAGACCACTAGCAACGCAGCCTCAACTTCAATTTTAGGATGGCATTCTTTAACCTCGACCATTGCTATAAGTAAACTTATGCTTTTATGGCAACTTTTATCTTTACCATTTCAAAGTATTTACAAGAAACTTATCATTTTACGCCTCCTAAGTGCAACATACGGAGATCTCAACACATTTTCTCCTATAGGGAATTGTATTAAGATGGCAAAAGCATATCAGCTAGATGAAATGGTCTATGAAATGTTTAATGGACGCGTCTACTCAAAGTTACAGTGGAAAAATATTGTGAAGAGTAAGGTACATTTATTTGAATTACGTAACTGGCAAATTGAATGTATATTGTCAAGAAAATTGCCATTGTTCAGAATTGTAACCCATGATATCCAGCCTATAATATGGTGGAAGGTAGCTAAATTAGATCCTAGAATTTTGAAGTGTTGCATGACGGTGGTTAAACTACTGTTGGGAGAAGGAAACATAATGATAAATGTCAATAGGTGGTCTAACGGAAAAATTTCTGTATTATGTAAAAAGTGCTATAAAGAACCAGAAACACTATCACACATGATACGTGAAGGTCATGATGCTTTAAGATCAAATATTTTGGAAATTGTATATAATATCTTCAAACCAGCACAAAATTATCCAAAAGAGATGATTCTTGGAGCAATTTTTGGTGCAGGGGAGATATTTGATGTCGAGGAATATAAGCAAATTGCTGTTTACATCCATAAAATGTACATAAATAGACCAGAATCTGGTCTGTAACTAAAATTAAATTGTTTATCATATACATATGTTATAATTATAAGTAAATAATGTAAAATTTATTTAAACACATCAAATATGGTGGATAAAATAAATAAATAAAAAAAGAAAATTTTTGCAAAACAAGGATTTTGAAACCTAGATGCCTTCATATTTTTGGAACCAAACTTGAATTAAAACGAGTTCACGCCAATTCTGTGTTCTATTTTTTTTATTAATGAGACCTTTGGAATACTGTAAGTGTTCCAGTGATTATCTTTTAAATCACACCACAAACTATTTCATACTTTGATACTCAAAGGAAAAGTTCAACTTCAAACTTGATGGAATTGGAACCAATTTAGCACTAAGTTGTGCGGCGTTATTTGTTATACGTGAAAAGAGGATCATATAAGGTCTAAAATTGTAATTAGTCCGAATCTTATTCATTCATTTCGTTTACTACCTACCTATCGCAAAATGCTGTATTTTATCATCACGGACCATGGAATAACCATCTCCCCCATTAGCAACGTAGTCAGGCATCACCACTTTGTAATGCTTTGTCAGGTCTAATGTCTCAAGAGCAGGTACCAAACAATCTGCACACGTGACCTTTATGCTCACAACTCTCTTACCGACTGGCTTCCCAACGTCATACACTATTTCGATTCCTAAAATCATAAATACTTAAATAACAATATTTGTAAAACTATTTCTGGACACTTGTCGAAATAATGTTGCATATTTGCTTTCTAGTTTCAAAAATATGTAAATCAAAAGCTGATTGCAAATGAAAGTTGATACTGGGTGGTATCTTTGAATATAACTCAATTTAACCAAAATGTGTGAAGGGCTTTTTGTGCTAATTTGCACAAAAAATTGCAAATACTTTGAGTGTTTTCATGTTTAGCCATAATGTTTGAGATTGTGACTATACTTTATCGTTATTGTTGATTAAAATCCACTTGTTAATTATATGATATCTGAGTTTTATTTATCATTTAGTCTCAATTTTTGGACTGAAATTATATATTTTGCTTGGCAAAGGAGTTTTGCTTTTTATACCTGTATGAAAGTTCTGTTCACTAAGGCATGTTTCTGGGGTTCCACCATTGACACTTTCGATGTGCATTGAAATAGCTTTATGGAGGGGAAGAATATGTGCATTTAACAATCATGGGATTTCTCACTCTCAATCAAAGAAAGGAAGATTATCTTTTATTGGGATATTAATCAACTTATTGTATAGTATTACACAAGTCAATATACGAATTGAAGATATTTTGCTTGGAATTCAACTTTTATTATTGATTCATTACATATTATTATACAGGCATTGGGATTTTGTTTTAACCTTCTTTTTGCTATTTGTAGCAACTGTTCTTTCAATACCTTGCATTATTATCAAAATTATTGTCTCATCTTTCAAGCACAAGCTTAATCCAAGATCCTTAAGTGTTTTTGCATTCTCTGTGGGCTGTTTGCTACTTATTCCTGGAAGTTCATTATATATAAATCTTGCATTTCAGCAAGATGTACTTAGGAGTTTGCTATTGGTGGCTTTTGATGTCAAACCTAATCCAGGTCCATTTAGTCAGCTTGAGAATGTGAATATAATGTTTACAAATATAAATAGTTTATCTGCTGACAATGGTATTCGATTCGAAAATTTAAAGCTATTTATTAAGAGAGAAAACATATCTATTGCTGGCCTTTGTGAGACAGGTACTGATTTAGACATTTCAAAATATAACATAGATGGTTTCCATATATTAAACGACTCTCTTTATAACAAATCTGGGCGTGGTATCATAATTTATGTCAAAGATTCCATTAAATTTAAAGTTCGGGATGACTTAAATGCTAATGATACAAATTGTCTCTGGATTGAAGCTCGTATTGAACAGAAAAATATTTTATTTGGTGCTTTTTACCGTTCACCTTCTCAGAATCCTATAACGCGTGAACATTATCTAAATTGCTTGAGTGAAAATCTTAAAAAAGTGTCAAACTCCCAAAAAATCGACCTGGTGATGTTTACAGGGGACTTTAACGCACGAAGCAAAAATTGGTGGGTAGATGATGTTAATTCTGTCGAAGGTAATAAATTGTATGATATTTCAGTACAACATTCTTATTCACAATTGATCGATGAGCCAACTAGGTGTGTTCGAAACAGCCGCTCATGCATAGATTTATTTTTCTGTGATTCACCTGGATATGTACTTGAAGCATCTGTTAAACCACCAATTGGGTCAGATCATTGTTGCTTATTTGGCAAATTGAACATATGTAGGCATAATGAAAAATTAACTTCAGAAAGAATAATCTGGCAGTATAGCGATTGTAATGTTTTTCACTTGAATAGAGCAATTTCACAGTATGACTGGGAACAAATCATGTCTTGTTCAGATATAAATGAGATGGTTGATAATTTTACTAGGGCAATTTTATCAATATTTAATACTCATATTCCGAATAAAGTTAAAATAATCCGTTCTAAAGATTTGCCATGGTTGACACGGGAAGTCAAAAGCTCAATAAACAAACGGGACAAGTTATACAGGAAATTTAAGGTTGAAAAAAATTCAGTAATTTATGATCAATACAAAAGACAAGAGTCTGTTGTTAAGGAGGTTATTGAGAAAGCCAAGAAATCTTATCAAGATTCTGTTTGCAATAATTTAGAAACACATACATCTAATAACAAATTTTACTGGATTGCCATTAAAAAGTTACTTGGGAAAAAATTCTGTTCTGACATACCATTTCTCTCTTTTGACAATGGTATTGTGGCTGAAAACAGCTCAGAAAATGCAAACTTTTTGCTTAATCAATTTTTATCTAAATTCCATCATGACTATGATGAAACTCAATCACCAGAAATACCTTTGAAAACTGACATGATTTTTGATAAAATTGAATTCACTAAGGGAGACATAAATAAACTTATTCAAAGTCTTGATGTCTCAAAACAAGGGGGGCCAGATGGCATTTCAAATAAAATGTTAAAAATGTGCTGTGATAGTATTGATCAACCTCTTTTGGATTTATTTAAGATAATAATAGACAAACAAGTTTTTCCCACCTGTTGGAAATTGGGAACTGTAGTACCTTTATATAAAAACAAAGGATCAAAGGGTGATTCAAAAAATTATAGACCAGTTACCTTGTTAAGTAATGTTTCTAAATTGCTAGAACGTATTATTTATAATGACATGTTTAAATATGTTAAAGACAACAACTTAATGTATCAAAATCAGTCTGGTTTTCTTCCAGGACATAGTACGGAAAAACAACTGTTAACGATTGTTGATCTTATTGACAATTACATTGACAAAAATCATGATGTCAGAGGAGTGTTTCTTGATATAGAATCTGCGTTTGATTCCGTTCCGCATTTCCTTTTCATAAAAAAACTTAAATCATATGGCTTTTCAGATACTATAACTCAACTTTTGCAGTCGTATCTTTTCAATCGTAGACTTCAAGTTAAAGCTAATGGAGAATTATCAGCAATCTCAAATGAATACTTCATAAATAGTTCCGTGCCGCAGGGATCCATAATTGGGCCGTTTTGCTTCCTGTTATATATAAATGACCTTCATGAAGTCATAAATCATAGTCAACTTTACCTTTATGCAGATGATAGTTCAATCTTTATGCCATTTAATAGGAAAGCTAATATCATTGAACAGAACCAGCATTTACAAGCTGACTTAAATAATTTATGGGAATGGTCACAGAAATGGAAGCTTAAATTTAAACCTTCTAAAAGTCAAGATATGATTTTTAAAGGCTCAAGGAGGTACAATCTCTTATACCCTCCCCTCTACCTAGGAAATGAGGTCATTAATAGAACCAGAACTCATAAACACTTAGGAGTCATTCTAGATGAGCATTTGAATTTTGAAGCCCATTTACAGGATATCATAAAAGCATGTAATATAATGTTAAATCCATTGAAAGTTCTTAAGACCAAGATTCGAGCTAAACACCTAGAGAAGATGTATCTATCATTTATTCTCCCAAACTTAGAGTATGGAAGTATATTATTTGAAAAATCTACCAAGTATAATATTATGAAACTAGACCAAGTTCATTATAGGGCAGCATTATTAGTAAGTGGCTGCATTCATGGAACATCTACTGTAAAGGTTTTGAAATGTCTAAATTGGAATACCCTGTCTGAGCGGAGAAAGGAGAAACGTTTACGTTTAATGTATGATGTTAGACAGAAATTGGTCCCAACTTATGTTCAAAAATTTTTTGATAGTTATCAAAATAAGCAACATAATATTAACTTGAGAAAATCAAGAGAATACACTATTCCAAAGTTAACTGCACGTTCACAAAAGTCACCGATAATAAATGCCATAAGAGAATGGGAAGCCATTCCAAATCATCTAAAAGGTGCACCATCAAGAGTCACTTTCAAAACCAATTTACGTAAATATTCAGGAACAATGAAGCATTTAACAACCACAAACCTGGATCTTACAAGAAAAGAAGAAATTTTACTGAATAGAACAAGATGTGATTTCATTTTTACTGGTCATCTTTTTCAACATAATTTTCAAGGTATTGACAGTCCCAAATGCATCTGTGGTTTTAAACAACAAACTACAAAGCATCTAATCTTCAAATGCCCTCTGTTGAATGTTATAAGAGAGAAACTTTGGGGGGAACTCAGGAACATGCCAGAAATGAACATTTTCTTTACAGGATGCTCTATAGAGCAAAAGCTGAATATCTTAATGTATGGCAGAGATGGAGTTAGCATAACATGCAATTCTTCAATATTGAAGCATTTTACATCATTTTTGTGTGAATGCATTGATATAATTATATAGTTTTAACACATTCCTGCCATGCATACATATATGTTGGTAGTCATTTTGTTGCTATTATGTAAATTTGAATAAACTTTGTATTAACAGGGCCAATAATGCTGATTTCAGCCTCGGCCCTGTCATTTGTAGATAATTTTGTAAAGTAAAATAAAGAAACCATAAAAACTAAACTAATTGCAAATGTGCAAATGTACGATAGATGTGACCGATTATAACAACGTGGCTAACGTAAACGTAACGCGAACGTATACACTAGAGTACCTGAGACTTGAAGAAACATCCCCATACCACCCCCAGTCGGGTTCAGGTTATACCGTGATGCGGAATGCTCAAACATATCCCATATTGTCTGGCCAGTTAGTTCCACCATTTCTGCCATGTTTTGATACGGTAAAAGAGTAAGTACTGTTTCCATGGTTACATCTGCGAGGAACATATTTGGCATAGAACTAGATATAGTACTAATGTATAGTTATTAAATAAATATTGTCTTAAGTGATCTATTAGTTAATAAGATGTTTTACATTATACGATGTAGGAATCTAATCTCCTTATGGTATATATACACCCTCAAAAGGTCTGGTTACCGTATAACCACCATTTATAGTGTATCATTAGCCAGCAAATTTTTAATTAAATTAATTTTAATTTATCTGAGGTATTAAATTTATCATAAATGTCCAACCTAAAACATTCTCGAGCCTCGAATTAGAGAGCATTCTGTTCGAGGAATGCGCAGATATTAAATACAGAGTCGCTTCAACATAAAATGGTGCCATACCTCCAGGATAGAATGTTGAAGACCTGATACCTCCGGAGTTCAATACAGCAAGAGATACATTGTTCCAGGCTGTATCGGTCGGTGGATATATATTCTTGTCCACCAAGGCATCGGCATAGAAGTTGCCAACGTTACATTCACCCCGCCTAAAACAAGGGTAACTTTAAAATCAATCATTCATTTCACAAACAGATTCAGAAGGAAAGTTCGTTGACCTTTCCAAACCTGATAAATACATTCCATTGATTCGAAACGAGGGATTGGCTGGAATATATTCTCAAACGTGGACCCGAACAATCTACTGCAACTTGACTTAACGTGAAACCGAAAAACAATCTTTCCGAACTCGAATTTGAGAGTAGTTCCTTCTTTTTACTTTGACATCGTCAATGTAACTAGTTGGAGAACAGTGAGATATGTACATAATAATTGAGCCAGGCCACGGGAAAAGGGGTCTTATCACAGATTTTTTCAATATTCTGATTTTTTGTTTATCTTAGAAAGCACAAAGAGACCTTTCAAATGAGCCATGACGTGTATCTTAACAATTTTTTTCTTGCAGATATAGACCAAAAAGTCGGATTAGAATTTAGCACATTTTCCTCTTAATCTTGGGCACATTTTTGGCTCTGTAGCCGATTCAAATTTTTGTGATAAGACCGGTTTTCCTATGGCCAGGCTCAATTATGTAAATATTAACGGATCTCATAGTGTCTGTTATCAAAGTGATTTTTGAATTGATTATTAATAAAATGTCTTAACAAATACATTAATTCAGCCATTAATTACCTGATATTAAAGCAAGAAGGATGTATACATACCTACAAGATAACGTGTCTGCATCTAATAAAACGTTGGTTGAACCGAGTATCGTATTTTTGAATTTCACTAATTTCTCAACAAACGGCGCCATCTTTGCTAACATTTCTGGATCTGAAAAAGTAAAATACTATACATCTGAAATATGATTCATATATGAGAGCCCTCTATTTAAACCAGATTGGTTTGATTGTTCCTCTGGTCATAAGAAATTGGCTTCTTCTAACGTAAATCGTCATTTTTTCTTCATATTAAGAAAACACGGGGACGCTTTATGTGATGTAATTCATGTGAACATTTAATTCTTAATACCTTCAGCAACGGATGCATTGAGGTATATAGGGTTTCCATCCCACGATGTCACAACTCCATTGTCGTCAAATGAGACCTTTAAGTAACCCAGGTATTTTCCATGTTGATAGTCCTGTACAGCCAGAACTTTGGCTCCTGATGCCTGTGTCACTATAGTTGGATATGGCCCTTCGACTCGACCATTTTCAGGAGTCCCTGGTACTACCCCTATATAAGGTTGTAAAACGATTAATTGTAAATCTTTTATTAACATGAATGGTAATTTATAGTTCAGAATCAAAATATAAGATAAGGCAGTATAATACTCCCTCTTGGGGGTCATAGCCACTACAACCTGTAAATATGTTACATTGATTTTAATAAAAAAAAGAAGAAAAAAAAGGTTCATTGTGCACAAGTGTGAGTCTTTGTATTTCAATACTCGGACAGTACAACGCAACCACAAGAGTTTAACGCACTCTCCTCTAATGGACAATAAGCACTAGTCTAGCTACAAGCTAAGCCTCATTTACCCCCTCCCCTCTACTTGACTACACATCTTCTCACACAGATTTATAGTGGTAAGGGGGTCACAAGAGCTTGCAGCTATGTAGACCTCATACCAGGTACGGCTACATACATACTACATAGTACGTAAGTACTTAAATGTAATGCGCACTTAAATTGAACACCTCAATCGAAATTCTCATAGAACACGAAATAAAATTTGAGAAAATTTGGAAATGTTCTTTTTATCTCACGTTATCAAGAATTATCTTACCATTGTACAAAAATGTATTGCTGTGTCCACCAACAACAACATCAAGCCCAGTGACTTTCTCAGCAATTTCGAGATCCTTTGACCAACCAGAATGCCCCAGTGCTATAATCTTATTTATTCCTTCGTCTTCCATTTTCGCAACTTCTGCTTGTATGGATTCGATTTCATCAAGGAATTTAAGCTTACCTAAAATAGTGAGATTCATACTAAAATTCAAATGGCTAGATAGTTCTACTGCTAAATAAATTTTATGCAGTAAGGAATAATGGAAAATCTCAATTTTGAAAGATGGCTTAGCTAAAAATTAAATTTGGATATGTACTTTACATTATGTATTATTATATACCCAATATGCAACACTAATCCTGATTGGTCAATACCTAGTCACGTGTTCCGAAATAGATTTACTATTTCCCTCGGAAAGTTATATTCCCTCAAATGTGACGTCAGCCGGAATATACATTTGAACTATTGCCCGCTGACGTCACGATTGCAACTTCTATTACCCTTGGAAACGTCTGCGCATTATCACTGCGCAGACGAAAAACAGAAAAATGGAGGATGAGCACAAACACAAATCAACTCCGTTCAACATGACAGACGTGCGTGAACGATACAGTATAAGCAACGTGTATAAAGTTCCCTAAGCTCAATACGTCTGTGTAATTTCAAGTGTTATGATAATCTATTCCGCGTGTTAAACGCGATTGAATTTGTCAAGTGAGAGTCTCAGAGGCAAAAATTTCTGTTGAGCATCTGATGACGTCACAGCTTATAATGCTAACAATGGACCAGGGGAGGGGGCTTTCTAAGCCTTTTTGGCCTTCGCAGAGGAAAAGGGATAAGAGTCAGTATACAGGCCCGTAAGACACTTTTTTCCAAGGGGGGTGCGGTTTTTAGCTTACTAAAGAAAATATAAAATTGTCAATTATTTTGCCGCGTAAATCAAATCGCGTAAGACAGAGGCGGGGGGGGGGTCAGTTACTCCCTATATTGGTTTGGCATTAACAAATGCAACTTCCAAACGTGTCAATTGTTTTGTGGGGGTGTGAGGAGTGGTCCACTCCCCCTAGAAAATTGTACAGTTTTGAGATGCTATTTGGTGCTTTCTGGGTACTTTCAAAGTGTAAGTTTCTAAGTAGTACGCCACCACCACAAGAATAAGAGTTGAGTGATTAAAAAACTGAGCATTGAGGGGGGTCTGGGGGTTCTCCCCCAGGAAAATTTTGAAATTTGCTTGTATTTGGAGCAAATTTGCAACCATCTGGTACGCCTGTGCGTTATGATCCAATAAGAAAAATGTGAATTTTTTTCAAATTCTTTTGGGGGTGTCAAAGAGGATGAGAGGGTGAAGTGGGGCGGGGTGCCAGTAGGGGAGCAAGGGGTTGTCCCCCAGAAACATTGACCATATCAAGATGCTATTTGATGATGTCTGGGAACTTAAAAAATGTCTGAGACAATACATGAGATTCAGAATATTTATTTTGTTTTGTGGGGGATGTGAGGGGTGGCTAACTCTCCTAGAAAATTTTACAATTTAAAGATGATATTTGGTGCTTCTGGGCACTTTTAAAGGTATTAGTCAATAAAAACATTGAAAAACAATCACAATTTTTTTCAAATTTTTGGGGTGTCAAAGGGGGGAGGGAGGGGTGTCGGAGGGGGAGGTGGGGCTGGGGTGCCAGAGGGGAAGCAAGTGTTTGTCCCCCATATCAAAATTTACAATATCAAGGTGCTATTTGATGAAGTTTGGGCACTTTAAAAGTGTCTGTGCCTAAAAGCGCATATTTCCCAAGAAAATTTTACAATTTTAAGATGCTATTTGGTGCTTTCTGGGCACTTTCAAAATGTATGAGTCAATAAAAAAATTTGAAAAATCTCAAGTTTTTTTGGGGGGAGGGGGGTGTTAAGGGGGGGGGCTGCCAGAGGGGGAGGTGGAGTGGGGATGCCAGAGGGCGAGTAAGTGTTAGTCGTCCAGAATCATTAACTTTGTCAAGGAGCTATTTGATGATGTCTGGGCAATTTAAAAGTGTCTGAGACAATACATAAAACAAATTCAGAACTTGTTCATTGTTTTGTTTGGGGTGTGAGAGGTGGTCCACTCCCCCTAAAAAAATTTACAATTTTACGACGCTATTTGGTGCTTTCTGGGCATTTTCAAATTGTATGAGTCAATTAAAGATTTTGAGAAAATCACATTTTTTTGGATGGGGGGTTCAAGGGAGGCGCCAGAGGGGGGGGGGGTTATGCAAGTGCAAGATGCAAGAGGGGAAGCAAGTCCCCCAGAAACACTAACTATATCAAGGAGCTATTTGATGATGTCTGGGCACTTTAAAAGTGTCTGAGACAAAACACTAAAATAAAAACTTTTCCATTGTTTTGTGGGGGGTGTGAGGGGTGGCCAATACCCCTAGAAAATTTTACAATTTTAAGATGCTATTTGGTGCTTTCTGGGTACTTTCAAAGTGTATGAGTCAATGAAAAAAATTACAAAAAAAAAATTTTTCTAATTTTTTTTTCATATTTATTTTGGGGGGTAACAAAGGGGGGTGCGGTCGCACCCATCGCACCCCCCATCTGACGGCCCTGGTATAGGATATATAATAAAACAAATAGTGACTGCCTAATTTCGAGCAATAGTGTAAATGATTTCCCCTTGAGAATATCCTCTACAATGTACTATTCCCTCAGCCTGCGGCTTCGGGAATAGTACATTGTAGAGGATATTCCCTCGGGGAAATAATTTACACTATTGCCCTCAATGGCAGTCACTATTTGTATATTATTATATACCCAATATGCAACACTAATCCTGATTGGTCAATACCTAGTCACGTGTTCCGAAATAGATTTACTATTTCCCTCGGAAAGTTATATTCCCTCAAATGTGACGTCAGCCGGAATATACATTTGAACTATTGCCCGCTGACGTCACGATTGCAACTTCTATTACCCTTGGAAACGTCTGCGCATTATCACTGCGCAGACGAAAAACAGAAAAATGGAGGATGAGCACAAACACAAATCAACTCATAAATTTCGAGCAATAGTGTAAATGATTTCCCCTTGAGCCTGCGGCTTCGGGAATAGTACATTGTAGAGGATATTCCCTCGGGGAAATAATTTACACTATTGCCCTCAATGGCAGTCACTATTTGTATACTATTATACGTTTCGAACGGGAAGAAAACTGTGTTGCTTGATGCAAGCTTTCAAGATGAACAGTTGAAAGATATTAAACGAATGCGAGGTAAAGTGAATTGTATGTGAAATCATGTGAAAAGATCTGTTCATGACAACAAATTAAACAAGGCATATGATGTTTCAATTTGCATTAGTGCCTGTTTATAAGTTTTAATGAATAATACATAGACAAAGAAGAAAACCAAAAGGTATTTCAAAAAAGCCAGCTTCAACTACGAATGTTAATGCCTAAAACTTAAGGATGCAGTACCAGGTCAGCGTAGAAAAAGTTCCAGACATTAGATTTTGCTCATATTTTTTACAATGTATCACTATTATGTTATCATCATCCAAGTGCAATATGAAGAGGATTGACTGTCTGGTAATTACAAAATAAAAAAATTATTTTACCCACCCAAAATGAATCTTTTTACTTTTTTGAGTTTTCAATAGAGCTGGCACCTTTCGAACCCTGGTTTTCGTATCCACTAATTGCGACTCAAGAACAAGTTTTCCCATAAAAGTGAAAGGGATAAAATATGCTTGATAAAATGTTTGCAATTTAATTATTTTCTGGAAACACCATTATCGAAATAAACTATAATTTTTGAATAAGACTAAATGCGAAAATGACGTTCTTGGGAGCTAGCTTTCTCAAACCGGAAGTCAAACCTGCGCAAACAGACGTGAAAACCGACCCGGTACTGCATCCTTAAAAAGCCTTACACACGGGCCTCGATCTAGTATATTCCTATGCTTCAGAATCAGAGTCAAAATATATTCTCTCATACTGAAACCAAGTTTATTCAAATGTCAGAGTTTTTGGATATATTTCGTTTGTGAGTATACTTAATATCTAGTTAGTCATATGGACGTCTTTTATGCGCATACTTTATGCACATACCTGCTGAAATTAAAACCAACTTACCCAGCTTAAGAGAGAGTTCTGGCATTGACGATATGAGATAGCCGATAATTCCTATCTTCTGCCCTTGGACTTCAATAACTGTGCTTTTCTTAAACTTCCCTTGCATCCTTGGTTCCTCACTGTCATCGACATTGCATGCTAACACGGGGAATGTGGTATTGTCAAGGAAATCAACCAAACCATCTATATCAGCATCAAATTCATGATTCCCAAGACTCTAGAAAAATTGTTAAGGTAAGTTTTCCTTGACTAATGAATCTATTGAATAATAGTGCGGTAAAATTGTTTACTTAATTGTGTTTTGTTGACGGGGTTACATTTTATATTTCGGAGTAGGAAATGAGGTTACTTTTGTCTCATTTGAGTAAAGGTAAATGGTAAAAACCGTCGAAGAGAATGTAATTATAGGACACGGATAGGGGCACTTAAAACATAATGGATAACTATATTTTAAAGTCAACTTCCGTTTACCACAGGGACTCATATTTTGTATACGTGAAAATATATCAATGGTGGGTTTTCCATCCTCCCAAGCAGGTATCGGGAATCCGTACCTCTTTCTTCGGTAAAAAGAAAGAATATATTCTGGATTTTGAAGCCCTGTGATCGGAGGATGTGGGTTTTCTCGATATTGGATTAAGCGAAGAGGTTCTATTTGTTTTGAATTGGCATAGCTCAGCATCGTATTCGTATTACGCAATAGGTCCCGATTCGATCCTCGGTTCAGGTAAGGCTAACCTTGTATTTGCGAATGCAACTAACGCCTGTTGGCTACCGGTGTAAAAGAAATTATGCTCCCCTGGGGATTATGGTCCCCTTTCTTCGCAGCCCTTACTGGCCCTGACTGTGTATAAATAATAAGGAAAATAATTGTAATTAGATCACCATATAAATCAATAGAGAGTAGGACCAAAATTTGATAGGACCACCTACCCTTTTACACCGGATTAACATACTATTTTATGACCAAACCATTTAAATATGAATGGAATAGTGACAGGTACTATTCAAATTTAAATCAGTTACCCATAAAATATTAGGTTAGTCACACTCAATGAGGTTATACATACTCTTTTAGCGGTTTGATTTCGGGAAATCTTGGTCGGGAGTTCGTTCGAACGGTTAGTTTAAAAATCAATATTATATCCAACATGGAGGTAATTCGAGTTAGAACTTAGATCTTCAGAAGATATTTTGTCAATTCCTGTTATGTGCCTAATATCTTGAAGATACATAGAAGTTATCCTATATGAGGTTCAGGATATTGGGATTATCCCGAGGCCAATATAATATATCTGCCCGAGGGCCGTAGGTTCCGAGGGTAGATATATTATATTGGCCAAGGGATAATCCCAATATCCTGAACCGACTATAGGATGCTCTGTTTATCCCATACCTATCACATTGTTCAATTGGCCAATTGATTATTAACGGGGTACACTGCTCCTTCCCTTCTTTAAAGCATCAAACAGGTCGAGATTGTCTGCGTTTTTCTCCATTATCGTTTACAGTATGCGAACGTTACAATGAAGAACCAATACGGGAACAGCGATTATGACGTAGCGGGCAGATATACTATATCTGCCCGCTCGGAGCGGGACGTAAAGCTATATCTGCCCTCTGATGAAAATATAAGTTTTTACAAACCGGCTTTATGTACCCGAAACACGTCCAAGTATGGGATAAAAACAGTTCTGTTTAATTCATTGGCATGAATCGGTATCTTTAATTAGTCTGGCTTTGTTTATGTAATGTTCTAGTCAGCGGCAGTCTGTTTACGAGTGAGCATAATTTCTGATTGTAATCGCTCGATTTTCACTGCGTTCTTACCGACAGGAGCCGAGTGAACGTAGATAGTAATACGGTATCTGACCTCTCACCACGGTTTCTGACCCCTTACTCCTTACACATTGTTTTGATGGGTGCTGTTGTGATATCAACATACGGGACACTATGTAAACATTGTTTGAGTAAGCAAAGCATATCTGTGGCTTCTTGGTAAAGGGGATAAAGGTCGCATGAGATTTCGATATTGCCTTCTATAAGCATTTTCAAAATATAACATGAAATCGTCATTTAACTTTTTCACTATAATCAAATTAAATTATTGTATTCAAAAACCTCTGTTGACGTTTGGATATTGCCCCTGGCATTTTGAATTTTTCGCCGCTTGGTCCTCGAGGGACCTGATTGCCTTATCAAGAAACTATAAGACCCCAAGGTGCTTACTTTGAATAGATATGATATTTATATCGTACATCATGTTTTGAGAGTTTCTGTCTGATTCAAATCGACTGACTTTGACTTACCATTGCATCGTATGCCATCATATTCATAAACTGTGCGTTGGCGAGACCATCAAATGCGTGAAACCAAACTGTCCCCAGAAACTGGTCTCCAGCATCCAACAAAAGAACGTTTTCGTCCATTTGACGTATCTCTTTTATCTTTGTGAATCTTCTGGCAACACCACCATAGCATTCATTCCTAGCCTTTTCGTCTGGTTTACAAGGGCTGCCATTTCTGCTGAATTCCTCCATCCGTGCGTGGATATCATTGGTGTGAAGAATTGTAACGTTCAGGGTAGCATGAACCCTTAAGATGCAACTTAAGGAACATAAAGCTAGAGTTCGAAGGAAAAATATTCCAACCATCGTTTCCACCATTCAATTTAAAGTTCTCAGAGTTGATTGTTTTTACTAAACGTGTACGGTTTAAACTACCTGACCCAGTTATTCTACCGACTTCTTCCAATGAAGGTGCGTATTTAAACTCAGCAAATACCCCGAAGAGCTGTTCACATGCTACTTATAGTCGTTGTACACATATGTATATTAGTCTAATATATACACAGGTGATATGTTGTAAGCAAGATTCCATTCTCTACATATACAAGAGTAGTAGAGTATCTCACGAGCGAAAGATAACATATAAATTGATAGTCTGGACCTTAATCTTAACCAGAATCTATAATCGTGTACAAGGTGAGCCAAAATGTTTACCCATCCCAGTCTTATTTTAAATAGAATGATATTAACCTGAGGCCCGGGTATAATAAAAAATCAGTCTTATTCTTATTCATTAAGCTTATAAAAATCAGTCTTATTCTTATACATGTAAGTACTCAAGTAAAACATTTTAAACGTATTCCTGGCCTCAGAGTTAAACATAAATCTCTACTGTGTGTATGTATCTATACAGAGCCTACAGTGATTAACAATGGCGTAGCTAGGATTTCTCAAGGGGGGGGGGGTGCATGAGGCAGTTTTTAGATTAGTTAATTAATTTGTCAAATTAGTATTGTTTAATCTTCTACTCGACTCGGCTTTGCAAGGTGTGAAAAGGATCATTCAGTCTGTGTACACAACACAGGGAACAATAGATGGCAATAGTAGTTACTTATTTATATAGTCACCTGCTCACTAGTGCCATCTTTCTATCGACCTAGTAGCTAATATTTCACTAGTACTAACTATTTAAATCAAATACAGCACTCTACTATACCTAACCCCTAGAAATGCATAAGATACTCTGTTTGTCTAATTGCGTTGTTTAGGATATTTTTGAAAGTACCTTATTAACATCTAACTTTCAACCGATAAACCATTAACAAGGAACAACCAAATAAAAACAAATAACATAATTATTACTAATAAGCCAAATGGGTTGCTCATGAACACCAAATGCAAGGTATAGTAGAGTGACAGTGAAAGGACAAGTCTCTGTTTGGAGAACAGTGTCCTGGGTTCATATTTCTTTTCATGAAAAAATAAAGAAATATCACCCAAATTGAATTATGAATATTCAAAAGAGGACATTTAAATCTACAAGATGTAAAATATCACAATCGTCCGAAGCAAGGGTAACATGCAGTAAATTTCCATATTATTGTAATTAAGGAAATTAAGGAATTATTGTAAATAAGGAACACAATATACTAGATGGGAGTAGAAATAATCTTGATTTACTTCATCAAACTGTAAACTGTGAACAATGTCACCATTTCACCCGGGGCATATTCGCGAGCACTACCCCTGGTAATATGTGACGTCATAACGGCGGGCCGTAGTAATGGCGAACCATAATGAATATTCGAAACATTTTGGTTTTCATGTTCAAATCGTAATATAGACCTCAGAGCAGGTGTAATGTCGTCGAATACATCCCTTAGGGCTATGCACAAAAGCTTCGGGGTACAGAAAACGTTTGTGCCTAGCCCGAACCTTGTATTTCGGAAAGCAACTAACGCCTGCCGGCTACCGGATTAACCTAATATTTTATGACCAACTCATTTAAAACTTAATATGTGCTAAGTTCTAGAGGACCTACCCGTTCGAGTACGTTCGATAAAGTTTGTAAATATACCCCAAACGGTTCTTAGTACGTCAAATCCGTTCGTACACAGTCGAAGCCCGTTTTCGAGAACGTAGTGAGAACTAGTTTGGTGTGATAGTACGGTAAGGTCAAAGTTCTGAAACTCCTTCCTGACCGACAGTTCGTACAAATTTGTGTCGATTGCATACATTTAAACCCCTCGTTTTTTTGTATTGAGTTCTACAAGTGCAGAAATAAATAAGTTTTGTAGAGTGTTCTACAGCGTCCGGTGTCGTGTTATTGTTTTTATGAAGAATTAAGGATACTATAATGGAATGAATTGCACGGTTCAGCTCAGGTCAGAAAATGCACTTAGAAAACTAGTTCAACTTCGTTAGACTCAATAACGGCATAAGACATGTCAGATAAGAAACGAGGCCCAGGCTAGGTCTAATGTTGCTGGACTATTAGAAAACCTGCTGGGATATCTCCAGAATACACTTTTAAAGAGTCCTGGGCTAATTGCTAAAACATCATTTGTATCATAATGTATATAGTTAAACAAATAACTTTAAAAAGTTATATACAAATCTTAATTAATAACCAAACGAGAAAGTTATATTGAAAATCAAATCTAAACTGAAATACAGTGCTCAACATAAATAAATGACACCTGGATTTGCTGAAGTGAGGAGTTCCCATGTTAAAAAGAAGAGAATTTTCAAGAGGCTATACATCGGTGGATGAGAGTATACAAAATGTAAAATATACAAAACTTAAGTGATGTGTATCTAGACATTATTGGAAAGTATGAAGTCTCAAATCAACATGGTCTGGAAATGGTGATAGTGAATCCAGGTTTCATTTATTTATGGTGAGCACTTTTAGAGTTTGAAATTTTTCAGTTTTTCGAAAAAAATCAGATGGCAGAAAATGTATTGAACATTTAAATATCAAGCGATTGCCCCTTTAACCTTTTGAATACCCAGAGTGACGGATATATCCGTCACAAATGAAATAAGACTGGTGCCCAGAGGGACGAGAAAATCCGTCCTCTGCCGTCCAATTTTACTAAGCTGAGCATCTAAAGTTGTATAGGTATGTAATAAAATGTCAAAGGGTGGCAAAAAATGAAAAATTCTCTGGTTTCATGCCAATTTTAGAGCCTGGGATTCAAGAGGTTAAATCAACCTAGCTTATCAATTGGCTTAAACTGTTTTAAGTCCAGTGGTTATATTTATTAGCGGACTTATTTTAGGATAAGCTTCTATTTAAACATACCATTGATTGCACAGTCTTTTTTATACATGCTGATAAACCACTGGGATCTGTCTTAATAACAAGCTCACTCCGATCTGATTGGCTGCCTGGGCTCTACAGGGGTCAACTATTGAGTTTAACCTCAGAATCGAAGCTTCTCATACTTAGGGAAGCAAATAAAAGAAATTTCACTTCAATAGGTAGCAAATATGTATATGGTTGCTATATTTTCACTTAGCATTCTAGCTATATGTTGCATGAGTGGAATGCTTGATGTTCATGCGGCGTTAAATGTAACGATTCTTCACACCAATGACATCCATGCTCGGATGGAGCAATTCGGCAAATATGGAAGTCCATGTAAACCTGAGGAATTAGCCAATAATCAATGTTATGGCGGTGTTGCAAGAAGATTTACAAAAATAAAAGAGATACGTCAAATGGAGGAAAACGTTCTCTTGTTGGATGCTGGAGACCAGTTTCTGGGGACAGTTTGGTTTCACGCATTTGATGGTCTCGCCAACGCACAGTTCATGAATATGATGGCATACGATGCAATGGTAAGTCAGTCGACTTAGTTGAAAACACTTAGTAATAAACAAACAAAAATGCTTTGAAAGCTTTTGAATAGCATAAAGTATGTTTCAATGAGATTTTAGGAGAGTTGATTTTCAATCAACAATGACTAACATTTTCTTTTATTTAAGGTTAGTCTGAACTTTGATGAAATTTCATGGCCATTTTCTATTTTTAGATATTATAACTCATCCCATACATGGTCTACATCTTTCATTTTTGCACAAAAGTTGCATCGGTGTACTTTCGATTATTGATTCAGGGTTGAAAATGTTTTTAGAATGTATGAATAACTTGAATATTCAGTGGTCTACTTTTCAAAACTGCAAAATAATCCAAAGTGCAGTCTGACCTTATGATATACGAGTATTTAGTTATATGTTTAATTTTCCATTAAATAACATCATTTTATCATGAAGAAAGGGTCATTATCAATTAAAATCGCATTGTCAGAATGATGAACAATGTTCAAATTACATTTTCTCTTGACGATCACATTAGTTCAATGTTGAATCGCAACATAATCACAAGTTGAGTTGCGTATTAAATTCTCTACATACAATAAACAATGCTAATTGATTTGGTTTAATAATCAAGAAAAAAATAAATTTAAAAAACACTTATGTCTCCATACTTTGTTTTGAACCAGGAAATATGGAATGGCGTGGCATTTTTAGAAATGTGAATTTACACGTTAAAGTTTTTGGTCCCATCGAAGTACTCAACATAATTATTGACCTCCTTTTTGAAACAGAGTCTGGGCAACCATGAATTCGACATCGACATAGATGGCTTGGTTGATTTTCTTGACAATACCACATTCCCCGTGTTGGCGTGCAATGTAGATGACAGCGAGGAACCAAGAATGCAAGGGAAGTTTAAGAAAAGCACAGTTATTGAAGTCCAAGGGCAGAAGATAGGAATTATCGGCTATCTCATATCGTCAATGCCGGAGCTTTCTATAAAACTAGGTAAGTTGTCAAAAAATGTTTGACGATGGGTGGCCGGATTAAAAGTTAAAAGTGAAGTTAATAGTAAATAGTATATAAGGACCCGTCACGCCTTAATCTCTTCACTTACGTACGAGTATGCATTCAGTGGAAATATATTTTAAACTTGCCAATAAACCCTGGCAAGGAACAATTTTCTAAATCACATCCAATCGCCAATGACAATATTTTGGCTCGATTTTAGAAGTGCATTGAACCTTTTAACTACCTTTTTGTGGCGGGTTTCTATTTTTATAACCAACATTGTTATAACTTGGCTGAAGAGATTAAAATTTCTTTGAAACGTGCTTGTTTACCTCTTCTTGAGCTAAAACTGAATGACAGAAATTCTATTTACTATATTCAAACTCACCTTATTTTTCCTATTGCTAATAATAACACATGGTCCTCGTCATTTTAAACAGCAACTTACTTGTAACCCATGTTAATTGACAACACTTTTATGATCGGAAATGTTCAAAAATGTTTTGAATATGCACATGTGCGTTTATTCATTAAGTACTGTTATGTAAAAGTCTCAACTAAATAAGAACATGAAAATATAGACATACATGTACCAAAGAGAGAGAGTTGAACTTGAAATGGTTATTAATGCAAAGAGCATTAAATAACTTAATGTTTCAGTGCCTGTAATCTGTTTTATAAATATCGGTGTGGACATGTAAAAAACTATATAAATAATTGTAATTTTTAGGAAAATTAAAATTCCTTGAAGAAGTCCCTTCAATACAAGCAGAAGTAACACGACTGGAAGCCGAAGGAATAAATAAGTTTATAGCAGTAGGACACTCCGGTTGGGAAAAAGATCTCGAGATTGCGGAGAAAGTTACGGGAATCGATATTGTTGTTGGAGGACACACCAATACATTTTTATATAACGGTAATATAAAATGCATATATACGTATTGTTCTGCATTTGTAATCTGTATGTCATTTTTGATAAGGAATTTACCGTTATTAATGCTGGCAACATTTGGCTTGATGACATCCAGTTGCAATCATCTAGCTTTTGGTAGGGGTTTTAATTATTGGGGGTTTTCAAGCCTTTGGAGCTTTATTTGATGAATGGACATTATTTTTGCCGAATTAAAATAATCAGCAGCCTTGTTTTGTATACATACGATTGAGTCAAATGTATCCATGCACCTGCTGATTATCGTAATTATATTGAAGAGAATGCTAACGATTTGGATAATATTTTGAATAGTATTTTATGAATGTTGAATCCTCTAAAAATAAAGAGAGAAATGTCTCAGACCTCTGTGATCTGTGATAACTGAGACTAAAGCAAGTGAATGCATGTATAACACACAGGTTACACAATCGAAAACATTTGTGACAACTTGACAAACACCCACGTCATCTTTAGACACTTTTCAATTGAAAATACACTTAATTAAAGGTCCTGTACCTGGGACGCCAGAGGATGGAGAGCTCGAAGGGCCATATCCGACCATAGTGACACAGGACTCGGGAGCTAAAGTTCTGGCTGTGCAGGATTATCATTATGGAAAATACCTGGGCTACTTAAAGGTCTCATTTGACGACAATGGAGTTGTGACATCATGGGGTGGAAACCCAATATACCTAAATGGGTCCATTGCTGAAGGTATTTATAAAGAGGGAATAATAATTGATTAGCATGTAACTAATAGACAAAATAGCTTCATATTAAAAGTAGCTTTCATGTACATAATATCATGATCATTTTTAAGAGGTTCGTTATGGAAAACACTGTACGTTGGACATTGCCTTGATCTGCGTGTTACAAGGAGTGGGGTCATTCCGTATACTCTAAAAGTGAATCAAACGTTTAGATGCTCGGTTTGCTTCGCATCTTATTACTTGTCAGCTTTGTCTTTCTCAATGTGTTTTCCATTTTTTTCAGATCCTACCATGATCCAAAAGATGGCGCCATATGTTGAAAAGTTGGTTGCATTCAAGAACACAAAAGTTGGTTTTTCAAATGTTTTACTAGACGGACACTGGTCTCGTTGTAGGTATGTATCAATCAAAGGCACGTGATCAAGTTAAATTAATCACGGATCGAATGAATACAAACACAATAAATCCATCATATATTACTTGATAGAATATTTATGTGATTATAAAAAACTAGATAACAAAATGACGAATCGAATGTGATTGGTGATTCCGACATATCTCAGCATACTTTAAACTATACGCGTACTCTAGTCATGCGTATAAATAACTTTTTAGATGACATTTTTTCTAAATCATGACGATGAAGATACTTTTCAAGTTTTAATTTATATTTAGGTATGCTGAATGCAGTCTCGGGGATTTTTATACAGATGCACTCGTTGACAAAAACGTCCTCTCTCCAACTGACAGCTCGTGGAATAACGTCTCCCTGGCAGTCCTTAACTGTGGTGACATCAGAAGTTCAATTAATCCTGGAGGTAAGATGGTTTTCATTATTTGATTTATTCAATGATGTTCTAATAAAAAATCATTTTGTTTCATATTGTAAGATTGATAAGAAGTTTGTGTTTATAATATTCACCTGATGTGCTGAAAATATAAAGAAAAGTAAACTGATAACCATTATTTATATTCTGCTCAAGAAATCTATATGGGAGCATTATATTATCGGTATATGGACGCCGCAGTTCCTCCACAAGCGGGAATGCATATATAATATGCCATGCTTTGGGCAATCATTGCAAATACTTCAAAAATATAGATGTATGATAAGACTTTTTATGGATTGTCCGAATGCCTTCACAGGTATATTAATTGTATTCATTTTTTGCAGAAATCACAATTGAGGATATACTAAATGTGTTACCCTATCAAAATGCGGCGGACATAGTTGAGCTGACGGGCCAAACAGTCTGGGATATGTTTGAACACTCCGTCTCTAGATATAGCGAGGGCAAAGGAAATTTTCTACAAGTATCAGGTGATTTTTTATATTTGAACAATCCACGGGCAATTGATTTTCTGCATTTTCGCCTCCGTGATAAGCTTTAATTAAGGAGCTCATCTGGTAAGGTACGCTGCGAAAATTGATATTCAAACACTCGAGAATATTGTTTACACCCCAGTCACATTTGTCGCACGGCGGCCGCAAGTCGACCGCAGATCAATTAAATCGGTGAATTTCTGCGGCGAGCGTAGAAAAACTACGCTCGCCTTGCGGCCTCCGTACGGCGTATGCAGATTTTTACAGGCCGCAGGGAAGGCGTAGAAATTATAACTCGGAGTTATAATATTTGTTCATTTCTGAGGTCCCCGTAGAAATCAACTGGCTCAACAAGATTGAATCAGTATTTGTCAATGTTTCACGATCACTTTGCATTTGATATTACATCCTAGCACTATGAATAACATTTATAAATTGTCCCGATGTAAATAAAATGAAAAAAGTATTATTTATCAACAGAAATTTAAAATTCACCGTGCGGCTGCCGTGGGAAATGTGACTGCAAAAGTATGAGAGCGCAGAAATTCCACGGCGAGCGTAGAAATGTTACTGGCCGCAGAAATGATAGACCGCAAGGTCGCCGTAGGAAATGTGACTGGGGTGTTACAGTCCAAATTGAAAAAAAGATTGAGGGGTGTAATCAATGTAAATATTAAAGTGTACATGCAAAATGTTTTCGATAAAAGTGAAGTCAAAAAGTTGTATTACTAAACCGCTTTCATATTTCAGGATTTGAAGTCGTGTACAACGTCGCTAAGCCAGTGGGAAGCAGAGTTGTCAGTCTTAAGGCAAGGTGCTCAGATTGTATGGTGCCCAAACTTGAGGAACTGGACATGGCCAAACACTACAAGATCGTGATGCACGAGTATATTGCAAATGGCGGGGATGGCTACTCCGTCATCAGGGATAATAAAATACAACATATTGCTATGGGTATGCTTATATTTATTTATTTATAGAATTATGATATGTTGTTAACTTCATTGCTACAGTTGTGTTTTAAATAAAATTAAATAAGAATGGATTAACCTAAAACCTTTTGATTTGGTATTCATTCTTTTCATTTTGATTGGTACGTAGCCCGACTCAATTCATAACTCAATTCTATCTAATTTTATTCCTAAAATTCCAAACTACTTCTCTGAATAGACGCTTATTTTTAGAAATTTGTCGTTTTCGGAATACTTAACCTATGTATATATTATAAGGTAATTCTAAAGGCATGTACCTTTGAGAATGAATATATTCTAATGAAAATTCCATTATTATTTTACTATTTTCAGGGGACATGGACAGTAAAGTAATGGAGAGATATATCCGAAAAATGTCACCTGTCACTGCTGGGCTTCATTCTCGTATTACTATAACTAACTCAACTGCTGATGGAACGGGTGAAACAGGAACACCCTGTACATCTTCCGCTGAATCAATCTTGGGACATTCCATTACAGTTGCTTTGCTATTGCTGTTTTCCATCTTAAGTGTGCTGAGCTAAAGGAATATCTAGACATGTAACATAGTAGGGAGTTTAAGCTTGCAAATAAAATCGAAACGCCAACCTATACGTATGACCAATCGCCCATACAAATGCATCCTTGAATATTTTTCTGTTCACGTTTAGGTTGTGAAAAACATTGCAAGCTTATACTCTGTATTGTTAGTTGATTGAAGCCGTCTTAACTACATTACCTTACAGAGTCCTCGTTCCTATCTGGGGTGCCCCGACGTAACGATTGTCGATGTCGATATTAGTAGGGTACCTCACATTGATGTAGGGTACCTCATGTATTGTATAATTCTTGAAAGTTACTTCTAAGTATAACTATAGGTTTTAACTGTTCTAATTGTCGTATTTCTTATTATCTCATTTTTTCCCAACTCATCTCATCTGTGCATTTTATTGCCTGTTTACTCGCAGTGTAACTTTTTTCAACTGTACTCATGTTCACTTTGTATCTGTGTTTTGATCTCTATCGATTAGCCTTCGTTTCACAAGGCTATTTGAATTCATAATAACATTGTGATTTACTATTCATAACAACTTACATAATTTTATATCACATTGATGTACACTGATTTTATGTTGACTGTTGAAATACATGCGCACAAATGGCAAATATAACATTACGGACTCTTATTCTTTAAGTAAATTACGCATCATCTGCTTGATATTAACGATGTACCTTAAAAAAGTTATAGCATCATTATTTTGAGAGAAACAATAATGCCAATGAGCATATAGACGTCATATTTGATTTACGTATTACCTACAACGTAGCCTTTGCAGAAAGTGTTTTATCACAAAATATTGTATTTATTTTATCAGTGTATACGTTTATATATTATAAAGAGTTCACACCAAAAAATCTCATTATATGTAAGTTTTTTTGCATGAGAAATTCATTACCCTGCGTACAGAGTCTAGTTAAACTACATTGCATTCGTACGACTTCACTTCTTAAAAGAGAGCTTCGTCTTCACTCTTTCAAACTAAAATAAAATGAAGACGAAGCTCTCTTTTAAGAAGTGAAGTCAAACGAATGCAAAGGGTAGAAATTCATGAGGATATCTGTAAGAACGTGAATTTTGATTTAGCACAATTGATTACAAACGCTAGCCATCATTTTTATACCCAAACGGTAAACAAAAACTACTACCCGTGGTTCATTCTAGATATCTTAGGACGAATCCCCTCTTCCGGACAAAGTACAATTTCGGTAATTTCATATCTTACTTTATATGAGATAAACTTGACCTTGCAGTCAAGTAGTTTCGTATTATTGAAAATTTTAGATCTATCTACGAGCGTATTTGCAATTTATAACACTTCAGCGGCCGATGATGTTAATTATTTATTAGGATGCCTTAATACATGATACTTTTGACTTATGTTATGAACTGATTATATACCTCCATGATTAAACCATACATGAAATTAAAATGAAAAGTGTTTATTTGGTTTTCCTTTTCACACTTGAAGCGACGGCATCAAATGTGCATGTTCTAACCAATACGACATTCGGACGCGTGAGAGGGCACAGTGTGCCAACCACATATGCAAATAAATCGTTGGAAGTTTACACAGGGATTCCATATGCAGCCCCTCCAGTTGGAGACCTAAGGTGGAGCAATCCTCAGCCTCCAATATCATGGGCACCTGATATCCTGGATACACTTGCCTTTAAGCCTGCATGCCCCCAGGATCTAGGTAGCGTGAGAGAGTAAGTATTTAAGTGTTACTTTCCGGAACTAAATCTGTGGCACAGGATGTTTTCATTGGGATGTATAATGACGCATGTACTGCATACACTCAATCATGAAATGGAAATAGAGCTGTAAAATGACTGATGTCATGATATCAGTAGATGAAACAAGAGATGACACTAAATGTAACTGAATAGTATTATCAATGACAAAACCCGAATATGCTCCCATACCTGTATCTCATGTTTTTACTTTAATGTAATTTCTTCAGTTGGAGTTTTGGACCAACCTGGAACAATACAGATGAAGACTGTCTCTACCTCAATATTTATTCACCAAAGGTAGGTGTTGTACAACATATGTGTCTCAAAAATTACGAGATTTACTAAAGAAAACATAACACCGTCGGTGTAGCAAGAATTAGGCAAGAGAAACTGTATCTTTTATATATTGTTATATTTAACCAATAAAGAATAACCAGAATTAAGGAGGAGTAGCTGTATGTTTTATATATTTTTATATCAAACCAACAAAAACAACCAACTTTACTAGACTTTGGATACAATACGAATGAAGAGAAGTACAGTGCCTTCGATTCTAAGATTAATTTAAGAAAATTTATATCATGCTAAGTTCGTGCTTAATGAAAGCCCAACATTGATATTTTGCCCCTATACTCTGTCAATATGGAGATTAATAAATTCTGATAATTTTCACAAAAGACCCATGACCCCGCAGCACGGTACCCTGTGTTCCTCTGGATTTATGGTGGAAATTTCTATTATGGAGCAGCGGAAGAATATGATGGGCGTGTGCTGGCGGTGGAGAAAGATATCGTTGTTGTCACCCTGGGGTACAGAATAGGAGTCTTAGGTGAGACATGCATACGATAACAAATATGACCGTCTTATAAAGTTAGAAGCTAACTTTCTGGTTTCTAATAAACTCATCATATGTAGTAAATTATGCACCTTCGACTTGCAACACAACACATGACTTTAGAACAAGTACTGGAAATTCGAGAATCAAGATGGAAATTAATACGTCGAACGCAAGTTTGTTAGTTGTATGCTTCTTCACAAGTTTTTTATAATCCTTCCTTGATATTCATTCTAGAATAATTCATTTTGCCTAACTTGGTGTAATCCCATCACATAGTTAAACTCCTACATGATCTTTTTCTGATACGTAGGCTATCTTTCGACTGATGATGCCGAGGCAAGAGGAAATTACGGTCAGCTGGACCAGGTCCAAGCGTTAGAATGGATAAGAGAGAACATAGGGAATTTTAGAGGGGATCCTAACCGAGTTACAGTCGGTGGAGAGAGCTCTGGAGGGGTGGCTACGACATTGCATTTATTCTCTCCCTTGACCAAAGGTAATGAGTGGCATGTTCCCGGGGAAATAGATCACATAATGCATTAAACTGAACGATTTTTGAAGAATTCTCATGTAACTACAAGTGAGTACTGAACATCATGTTGAAAAGTGGATGTTAACGTCAACGACTACAGTGGTTTTGTCGCGTGATGTGGACTATGCCGATGATACACATAGTTATGCCTCTGTTATTCAATTGTTGTCCATACACAACAAGATGAACGATAGGGTGGTCATGCACATGCTACATGTTTTTAAGAGAACATGCACGTAAATGTGTAATATCATGACCCCGGGGAATCATTCCCTTTTTAGGTTCTTTATTCAACTATTTTCTCATAATTTTACACGTTTACAAGTTACAAGTTTACGTTAAATTTTTCATAAAACGTGTAGCTTTACCTCCCTTTTTCCATTTTACAGGACTGGTCCACGGTGTTATTCCACAAAGTGGACAAGCAAACAGTTACTGGGGAATTAAAAGACAACACGAAACTGCTCGCCCGTATGCTTTTGAGCTTGGTCGACTGGTTGGATGTCCCCAACAGTCCTCAAAAGCATTGATTACATGCATGCGTGGAAAACCATATTCCGAGCTTGTTCAAAGAGGGGAGAATGATGTGTCTGTAAGAAATCAAAAACCGTGTGGTAACAAATAAAAAGCGGAGATCTACTGTTTTTTAGGGATATAATTTCAATTCATTATGTTTGATGTCAGTATCTAAAACCAAGTGCACCGAGATGAAAAATATAAAGTTGAGGTAATTTGAAAAAAATGAAAAGTATTGAAATAAAAAAAACACCATGCGCAGAAACGGCTATTGAAAGATATAGCAACCTTTGATTACTGCGTGTTAAAAAATATTAAATCTTTGGATATTTTGGATTAAACATGTTAACTGTAAACTGTTGTGATTTAGAGTCCTTGGTTCACATCGGCATGGGCCCCGGTTATCGATGGCTACTATATCCTGGAAGATCCCTTGGAGCTTATTAGAAGAGGCGAGTTTTGGAAAATCCCAATGATAACAGGGGCTAACAAGGAAGATGGATCTGATGAATTAGGTACTATAAAGAATGTATAATGTGACAAAATTATCAGTAAGCGTAATTCAACCCACTATAACAATGATACTAAGAATCCATTTTCAAGCATGTTTACTTGATAAAATGTCAAATTAAATATGTAAACGTTTAGCAATTACGATCCTTCGTTGTTTTGTTAAGATGACACTGGAGCGGAGAATGGCTACACACGGTCATACTTGTTATCTCAGCTTTTTGAGTACAGCCGAAAATGGGAAGATCACCAAGGTTTTGTGTATGATGCATTTACCCAAGAGTACCACCCAGACCCATACAATAATGTAGATAGACATCGGGACATCTATATAGAGGTAACTTTAGCCTCAGTCACATACGCTCTACGGTGGACGTAGGGCGGTCGTAGCTTCATAACATCGATAAAGAGAATCGACATTGTACTACTGAATATTTCTCTCGATTTTGGGACGCTAAAGCCGCCGGGTGGTTGCCGTAGATCAAATGTAAAATCACTAATGATCACTGTGAATGATGTACTATACATAACGAAAAAAAAACATGAAGTAATTTAATTATAATTTGGTTCATTTTAGTTCAATACGGATCACTCATATACAGCCCCAGCCATAGAGCACTCCCTTGGCCACTGTAGACAAGTCAACAATACATATTTCTATAGCTTTGAACATAGATCAATCAACTGTCCAGAGCCAGTGTGGAAAGGTATGGTTCTATAATATTAGTAAATCGATGCAAGCTGTCATTGATATGAGTTTTTGCATTTTTTATATTGATCGTCGTAATATTCGTGCTTTCTTGCCCTGCGAACTACATCGTTGCTCTTATATATGAATTATGGGCTATTATGGGGCACTTCACATAATTCAGTATATTGTATTTACTATAACAATTACTTAACGTTTTTATTGTATGAAAGTATGCAGGAATGATTGTTGCCAAATGTCCAGTTAGAAAAAATTATTCCAGGAAACCTATATTAGTCTCAAAATATTCTCGAAGATTTTTCAATGGATTCTGTTGAACAAATTCCTTGGAAATGAGAAGTGTGTTCATAGCAAATGTGTTTATTTATTTTTCCTGCTCGATATGAAAAATGTTCTTCATTAAAGTTTGAAATGACATTAAAAATGAGGAAACCAATGGTAAATAACGCAGATGCGAGTAGGTAGTTACCAGTTTCACCACCAGGTGGGTCGTTCGGGTCAGATAGCATGGCGGGTATAGAAGAAAGTTCCCTTTAACTTAAATTACATCTATTTTAGTGGTTCAATTTTCATATAACCCTTATGTATCTAATAGTTATGCAAATTAAAATATGTCCAGTAAAAGAAAATGTTATCTGTCCAATACAAGAAAAGATATTTCATTTTTTGTGATTTTGTTACATGGGGTCTATGGGGAATCAACCCGAACAAGAAGTCACATTTTCCCAATAAATAAAATTTTCAAAATTGATAAACAACTTTCGAAACCATATTTTTAGATGTACTTTTACATGTAGATTTCAAATATGACATCACTTTGATTGAATTTTGAATATTTAATGACGTAAATCAAGATTATTTCTACTCGCATCTAGTCTATTGGAAGAGATTCAATACACTTGATTAAGTTTTGGAAATTCTTGTATTATTCCAGGTGTTATTCACGGTGCTGAGCTCGACTACATGTTCGGCATACCCTTTTTTAAGAATGAAACGTGTCCATGGGGGTGTCATACAACACGCTGGGCTAAACAGACATGGACAAATCAAGATAAAAATTTTAGTCTTACGATGATGACACTCTGGGCAAACTTCATAAAAACGGGGTAGGTCTTGCTTTTTATGTCACCATCAAAAGTAGTGACATATATAATACACTACTTCAATCAAGAGGTGTGAAGTTGAATTGCTATATATGTATTTTTAAACACATACATCCATTCACAGGTGGGTTAAATTGGTAAGTAAATGTTGCCAAACCTTCCATAGAGTATAGCGTCACATTAAGATATCTCTGATCAGACCCACATCTGCCTTTAGGTCATTTGATGCAACATTAAGTCCCTTCAAGGATGATTGCTTAATGCTTGGCCTTTCCGTGTTAATATTTAAAGTATAAAACATGCTAAGATGTGTCACCAAATATGATCACAGTGATCAACACAATACAGCACAACAGAATATCTAAAAGCAAATTTGATTAATTTCTGTATGATGTACAACAGTATTTTACTGTTCTGCAAGGATATTTTACATAATGAAGGAGTATCTCTCACATGTACAATGCATGGAATGGACTAGAATGTCTTACTAGGCAGAGTATTATCCAATTTATCAATGTACCTAAGGTCTATTAGATGTGTACCTTTGCACATTAGACTACATGGTAAATGATTGTAGCCAAGGGGAGCTGGGGACCGGAAGCTTCCCCCCCATGCAGTTTTTTCATCATTCTGAGCACTTTTCGCAAGATTTTTTAGCCAAAAGTGTACCCTCCCCGCTTGGCAACCCCCCTCCCCACCTTGGAAAAATCTGGCTATGGGCAGCATTTCCCATTAACACAATATATTATCTTTCAAGTAAATTCTCAAGGATAATACAATCTCAATCAAACAAGTCGAAAAATTATGAATAGGGACCCCATGTCATCATTTTTTCAAAATGTTGAACCAATTAAATCAAAAGAGGATCGTCTTTTCTGATATTTATGTCATGAAAGTATTATTGAACAAGGGGTCTAGAACTTATACAAAAGTGAAATGGATTTAAAGTCTAGTTTTTGAAGATATCAATTTTCGATGACCAAAACTATGCTGAAAACAATGGAAAGCATGAGTTTTCCCTATGGAAAATAACATGGGATTTGTGGTTTTTAGCCATATCGCATTTCAATCTCGAGATTTCTGAAAGGGGGATGGAGCTCCATCCCCCTTTCAGAACTTGTTAATATATAGAAGAAGCTTTTGATATATATTTAAATTGAGAAAAACAATATTGTCTTAATAAGAACCACTGTATTTATGGCCGGAAAGTACTCATGGAAAAATATATGACTTTCCAAAGTCACTTGCCATACTAAACCTGGTCTTTTGTGTTATAGAAACCCAAACACCCCAGAGGTTGTGCCAAATTCACCAGTGTGGCCAGAATTATCAGTGGCAGAACAAAGATACTTAACCATCAACAGCGCCTCGTTCGAAGATAGATACCACCGGTACACAAAGATGAAATTTTGGAATGAATACGTGGACAGATTAAACAATAGATTGTTCAATATTACGAGTAGAACTGTGTGTCCGACTCCATCTACAGGGAAAGACTTTAGACAGCAATTGATACCAGTCTTATTGTTTGTACTGAGCCTGTATATGCTACACAATTTTCAATTTAATGTTTATCCTTAATTAAACATTTAAAGGAGTAATAAGATTCCATAAATTAAGATTTGACATCGAATATGAATATTATGGAAGAAAATCTGCTACTTGTAAAACTTATTAACCAACGTCATTGATCTTGTATATTACCCTTAGGGGCGTAGGAAGGTGTAAATTCAACACTATGCAAAAAATGAAAAAATGTCAAATCTTATATATCAAAATACGTATTTTATGTTTGCAAAACATCATCTTTATGGAAATACTTTTCTATTAATGTGGTTATATTGTTTTTCATCAATGAATATCAAGATAAAAAGCCGATCTTTGAAATTTCGACAGATCTCATTCTCACTTTTCTTATGAAAATGTTTATTTTCCCGAATGGTACAGGCGATCAATTTTCATATTGGTAATAAAACTATATTCCAGATAACAATCATCAATCGTCAGATAACTAACGTCAATTCCTCAAGCGTGTTTAGTCCTTTTGAATGAGTAAAATAGACAATTGTAATACTTCTTGTCTGATTTCATTGTGTACTGTGCAAGACGACAATATAAATTAAAGAAAATAGTATAGATGTCAAGAAAAATGATGTCAAATAGGTGGCACGATATTACGCAAACCGGTTCCAAACGGATGAATGTTTTAAGGAAAAAAGACTTTTACAATAGGTCCCCCATAAATTGTATGTTGGCATATCTGAGGTACATGTAAGCAATTAAATTTTTTGGAACCAAGTCCAGTTTTCTTGGTCTATTCTCAAAGTGGCAAGAACCTCTTCATCATTTTGGTGAATTTCCTTATGTATTAGGAATAGTCTTTATGTGTCCAAAAACATTTCTTTTGTGTGCTCGAGATCACAAACCAGTTATTTTGAACTCACAATGAGAAAATATAACTGAACAACATAGTGATTATTTTATTTTTTACTCTCACTTTTCAACACTACGCATTTGCGTTTTTGCATACTGATCGTACAAATTGTTCCTACGCCAATGACCCCTACAACATTAAAATTACAACATTCAACGCGGAATCAGTTGCCACGCAAGGTAAGCCTTTTTATTTCAGATAAGGAGGTTATATGGCCCTCTTCGATCTTTTGAGACCGTTAACAGAAGGTTAAGATTACTGACACATGTTAAATATGCTATATACTGAGATATAAATATATGGAGTTTCACTGTTAATCAAGTCATAATAGCAGTGTGAATGCGAGACAACATTTGAAATATTTTTTCTGTAAATTGTGCAAGCTTATCCTGGGAAAATTTATGATTTCGTCTCGTTCTACTATGAAAAACATTCGATACCGACTGCCTCTCCACCCTTTGAATCTGGTGTTACACATTTTTTTTTAATGGAATGTTTGCTACACTCACATCTCCATTTTGCTATTGATTTTGCTGTTTTCATATCAACGTCCTCAGCTTCGTATAAGCCAAATTTGTTACCAAATGCTAATGGAGTTTGGAAAGAGATCAACGGCGGTGTTTGGTTATTGTTTGACGGAACTGGAGTAATTTCATATTGTTCCAAGTCATCAGCAATAGTCTTAACTCGACAACCTGTACCTTGTACATAGATTTCTATAACAGTTTCATCAGGTTCTGAAACTCCAGACAATGCAATTATATTTCCACTACCCTTAAATTCGATACATACTGACTGACTTGAAGTAACATCTTCACGAATACCAAATACTCCCCCCTTAGTATCTTGATGCGTCCCACCTTTGCTTACCACACGAACTGTATATTCATTAACAGAACTTACCGGGACTACCTGAACCTTTATATACCAAGCGCGATACATTTCGCTAGTTAAGGGAAACCATGCGAGATGGAGATTTTCTTCACATGACACCGCATTTTCACAAACAGAATATTCAAATAGTGAAATTTCATTTTGATAAAAGGCATAGTGCGGATCTGTATCACTCGCACTGAGACACTTAGTATATGCAGCAAAATGACTATACAAGCAAAATCTAGAGCACTTATTGCACTCGGGCCCAATATTAGTGTCAGTACAACTTGTACAACTGGCTGAGCTAGGATCTACGCAATCGAAAACAGTATCACTGTGATATAAAGGACCATTAGACCTGAGAGGTTCAACTTCTGTTTCAATGACCCTAGATCTAGTTGATGTAATAGTGTCAGTTAATTGTTTAACATTTACGGTCACTCCCGGGACGTTTTGATTTGACCCACCCAGTCTCGGAGAAGCACTGAATGCCCCATTTTGATCTTCAAAGAATAGGTATGCATGGAAGTTAGATGGACGACAAACAGTAAGTATGCAGTCATCTTTTGAACCTAATTCACGATTGTGACTTCTACTACCAGTAAGAACCCGGCCATCAATCATCCCTGGTCCTGAAGGCAGGACATCTTTGGATATCACAGATGGTTCGAATGTATTCAACCATTCTAACGGTTCCCTTAAATTAGAATCAGCATATGCTTTGATTTTGACAAAACAGAAATTAAGCGAATCATCATCAAAATTGAACCAATAACGATCCGTTATGACAGTATCACCAACGAAAAAATCGGTTGTATTTTGACTTTGAGATCGCTTTCTTCTTGATGATGAGATTCGCTCGAGCGTGCTCTCGTATTCCCATCTTGCAGATGACGGATTGAGGGACCAAAGCTTAACAGTGGTACTGCTTTCAAGTTCTTTCCCGATTACATCAGCACGTATAGCCATGTTGACATCTCCTTTTATATTAAGTTCTTTACCAGAGGCATCATTGAATTCCATATGGAACATTCCAAATGTTTCAAGTGAACCAACATCACCATTGTTATCAACAAATGTCAAATCACCTACCATTGTGTCCACACTGACAATATCTTGAGGAGAAATAAAATTAATAGCTGCCTTAACAACACCGTTGTGTTGACTACCATCGGGTTTATAAAAGGCATTGTCCGGAATGACTACTTCCGCAAGTGAACCATCTGAAGATTGTGCCAACGGTATGGTGTTCATCACTGAGGATGGTATTTCTATGGCTTTACTTTTCATCAAAAGAGGAAATTTCTTAAAGAGTGTACCTGAGAAATCTTTTGGAATAGTAAATACCTTTGACGCCTCAATGAAACCCACTTTAAACACATTTTCTTTCAATGTAACTACAAGTCTTGTCATTCCGTTTGGAACAGAAAAACTGAAGTCTCCATTAAAACTGGTTATCCCTACTTGTTCATCAAATAGATAAACTTTTCCAAATCTGAGGGCATTGGAAGGGTCGTTGATATCATGAGCAACCCCACGAAGAGTGACCTCACGTCTAATTGTTATGACATTACCAGAAATGTTGACTTGGTTGCATATGGTACATCCACATTCTAATATAACAATAATGTCCATTGAATACCCCCCACAGGTTACTGTTTTCGTGGTTTGTTTTGTTGGTCCACAGCAATATTCGCACTCTGGGTTTGCTTTGGGGCGTTTGGTACACGCATTCTGTTTACAACGACCAACCTCGTACTTAAGCGGACTTTTTCCATTTGGATTACATTCCTTTGGCAATGTCTTAAAATGTAATGTTGGTTTGGAGTCACAGAAACTCTCGCCATTTTCTGAAATGAACAAATATTTGAAACTGAATCATTCTGGATAAATAGCTCGGCATGTATTAGTTCATTATCATATTATTCAACAACTCTAAGCTTGATATGTGAGATCAAGAGATACCAGGTCGTTCAATAAGTTCTCATAATTTTGCTCTCATTTTAAGAGTTTTTTATATTTTTCCATGAAAATTTCACAGACGATGCAGAATGTATCTGTGTAACAACTCTGCAAAGATTATGTATTAATTCTAATGGTTGTGGAAATGGCGGTTGCTATAGTAACGTCAAAAATCGGTAGGCGGGGCAACTTTATTTGATCGTAAAATCCATGGATGTAGTTAGATTTCATCTTGAAATGTCATATGTTTTATCTGAAAGATTTGCAACCATAGAAACAGGTTTTGACATCAGTGTGAAAGATGCAACTTTTCTGAGTATAGTTATTACTGTGACATCACATAAAAAGGTATGACATCACAGAAAAGGTTTCAATAGAGAGACCCAAGATGGCAGCTGACTGTGGTCTTGTGAAAAGTCAAGATGAAATTCAAATTCAAATCCGTAGTGTGATAAGATTTTGTGTGTTATCCAAGAAATCAAGAGGAGAAACAATAAAAGCAGTTCAAGATATTTATGGAAAGGAGTTAATGAGCACACCTACCATATACCAATGGTATCAAAGGTTTGGTTCAGAGGGAAGAAAATCTGTGATGGATGAAAAACGGACTGGCAGACCGGTAAAAGTCACCAACCCAAAGGCTGTTGAAAGAGTTAAGACAGTTCTAGATGATGATCGCCGCATCTCTGTACGGGAACTTAGTGAGAATGTGAACATTAGTATAGGTAGAACACACTTCATTCTGAAAGAGAAGCTTAAAATGAACCTCATGTGTGCTAAATGGGTGCCAAAGGAGTTAACTAGTGACCAGAGAGCCCGCAGAGTTGAGGTTTCCCAAGAATTTCTAAGACGATACCAAGATGAAGGGGATAGTTTTCTTCAACGAATTATCACATGCGACGAGGTGTACGTCAGCTATTATGAGCCCCTTGGGAAGAGAGCATCAAGTGGTTGGAGAACTAAGAACTCACCTACTCCCATTTCAACCCTGGCAAAACTGACCAAAAATGACGGCAAGGTGATGTTCATTGTGTTTTTGGATAGCTCTGGGGTGCTGCTTACGCATGCAATTCCTGATGGTCAGAGAATAAACAAGGACTATTATGCAATGGTAAGCTTATTCATTATTAATAAATTAATCAATATAAGAGTAAAAACATTAAATCAAATCAAATTTAAAATCAGATTTGAACTATAAAAATGGTTAAGTACAAATGTTAAAGGCATTAGTATCCTATCCTACTGACTATTTCAGGTTCTCAAGAGGCATCTCAAACGGGCCTTCTCAAAGAAACGCCCCGTCCTAGAGTTGGCGACAAGAATATTTCATCAGGATAATGCCCCGTGTCACCGGGCAGAACTTGTACTGAACACCATAGGAGAACTCGGAATGGAAGTTCTCCCACAGGCACCATATTCACCTGATGAAGCCCCATGCGACTTTGGCGTGTTTGGCCGAATGAAAGATGAGCTGAGAGGTTTTCGATTTGCATCGACAGAAGATTTGCAGAATGCAGTCCAAAATGCTCTCAGAGCTAGATTTCCTGATGGATTCCATAAAATCTTCCAGGATTGGGTAGAACGTCATCGAAAGTGTGTCGCATCCAATGGACATTATTTTGAGCATTTAAAGTAGGAATAGAAACATTTACCCCATACTATTTCATGGGATAAATGGGACTACATGACATTAAAACACTTGTTACTCTCCACAATGTTGAACTGAATTATATGCCACTATGACGTCAAATAATCTGCCCCGCCTACCCATTTTTCATGTTACTATAACAACCGCCATTTTCACGACCATTAGAATTAAAACTTAATTTTTGCAGGGTTGTTACACAGATACATTCTGCATCGTCTGTGAAATTTTCATGGAAAAATATAAAAAACTCTTAAAATGAGAGCAAAATTATGAGAACTTATTGAACGACCTGGTATAAGGAAAGTATAAAGTTAAATACGATACTAAACATTTTTTGGTCTTATATATAATACCTTTAACATCCAGAACTGCAGAGTCAGATGCAATCGATCCATACTTTGAAGTAGCTTTGCAATAATATGAACCTTTATCTTCTATTTTGACATTTTCTATCAATAGATTCTTGTCAGTGTGTTCGCTGTCCGATAAAATCTTTCCGTTTTTGAACCTATCATCAAAAATCCATTGTAATGGTGCAACGAGATATTTTGATATTGAATAAAATTATATTTCGTTGATTACGGAGGCGGCGTGACGAAAATACTGGGTGTAAGACTGACGCTACTTTCTGCGTAATATACCATATATTGGCGATTATTCAGAGTAAATCAGACTAAAAGTAGTTTATATATACCACAGAACATTTCAAATATTTCTAGCTTGGTTTTGGGTTTTAACGGTTAAGGTCTCACCATAGGAAAGTTTCGGGCTTGGGTTTCCCAATTGCACGACATGTGAAATTAACAGAATCTCCAACAATAGCATAAGCATCTTGTGGATGTTCGACAATTTCGGGTGGTTCTAAAATGGGAAATAAATCCAAGTATAATTTCAAAAAGTTTGAGATGAAATATGTTGGGCCTACGTATTATCAATCAATTACGGATGTAGTTATCTGGAACTTCGTTCGATGGAAAAATAGGCAAAATAATTCATATACCGGTTCATGAGAAACAGTGTTAATGTCCATACCCATTGATTCCATTATGACACTAATCGGCTTAGTTCTATCACTTTCGACAACGATGTTTGTATCCACGTATTTGGTCTTTTTAAACACCAACTTATCAGATGGGCACGCATTAATATTGATCAGACCATTTTTCGTTTGCCCTAGTTCTTCATCTTCAAGTTGTTTTGCTCTAGAAACAGTAACGCCATCTATAGGGACCATCTTTGTATTGTACACAAAAATATTAATAAAGGGACAAATACAAGTTGTACACCTTTCATCAAGAATTTTCCCGGGTGGACAAGGTTTTGTGCAATCTGAAATTAAACAACTCTCGTATCATTGGGTATATAATCACGTGTTGCATCTTAAATTCAATGTTAAATTTCATAATTACACAAACATTGTATACTCGTTTGCTGTTCAACTTATATCTACATGTAAATATGAGTTTTTGTTCTTACCGGTGCAAACTGGAATTTGTTGACTCCACCCTCCTGTCTTATTACAGACCATATAATAATAGTTATCAATTATTTTGTAGCCAGGTTTACAGCCAAATATGATTCGGTCATAGAAACCATTTCCGACAAGTTTTCCCCTAAGTACGACCAGCATGCTTTCTCTTTCAAGAATGACGTCAGGACACGTGACATTACTTGCTTAAATGACAAACGGGTTCCAGTAAACTTTGACATACAGACCAAGGGAACTCCCAGGAAAATACGTTCACTGGACTTAATCTAGCATGGACGTATACTACGGTCACACCGCATCGAGTAGAGGTTTTTTATTAATGATCATGAATTATAGTATTGTATTTTATCTCTGTATTTTATGGACCTGTGACAATATAATAACTATCTAAACTATAAATTATTTAATAATATAATTATTGCGTAAGATGAGCATGAAGAAAAAAAAATATTGACAAAATGTGACATGTGATGCTTATTTTTTTTTATTATTATCTATTTATTAATCAATTATCCTTATTAGTTACATTTACAAAATTATCTTTAATAGCCAAATGTATGCGCATGGTATTATAGAAGATATGATGTCGTTTTGAATACAATATAAGGAGTAATGTTAACAGTAGTTTAGGGGTTGTGGTAAGGAGGGGGGGGGGGTGCTTGGCGTGGGTGAAAGTTCATAGAAATAAAATATGTCTAAGGAGGAAAAATTATGCATTGGCCTATATAAAGGAGGCTAGCCGGCTCATCATTTTCGAATTTAATTCGATAGAGATATCTTTTGAGCCATATTTCAGAAAAAAAGAAAAAAGAAGCGTTTAACTGTTTGTGAATGTCCGCATGAACAATTTGGGTTGTCAATTTGCTGAAATTATGAGCGTATAGTTTGGCCTTAAATAAAAAGTCGGCCCTACATTTATTTAGTACTATTTCATGTCTTCTTGTGAGATTCAGTTAGCTTGTTGTTATGAACTTGAACTTATCAAACATGTCATTAAGAAATTTAGGGTTAGGACTCGTATTTTGTAAATGAAGTTATTTTTAAACATTTTTCTTCTAGTGTCAATAGATGGCCATTGGAGTGGCGTTGATATATTATATGTGCTGCTCCCGTAAATACAACCAGAGCAGTGGATAGCAACTCTATAATATAATCTATCGAGCCTTTGAAGTAAATATTTGGAAGAACTATTATAAATGATGGTGCCATAATCAAAATGAAGCAATATGAAGGAGTTGAAGATTGTCTCCAGATGACTGGATCCTCTCTTGTTTTTGAGTTTTTTAAATGGATTAAACATTTTGTTACCTTATCGTAGATGTTACTTATATGCCGTTTGTGTGTTAAGCAGGGATCAAAAGTGAAACAGAGGTGTTTGTGGGAAACAGCTCTAACTTTTTATATATTATTAAGATTAGATGGGCTGATATCATTAATACTTGTTCTAGGTTTATGGAATACCAGTTCACGGCTTTTCGCTGGCTTAAACTGTTGTTTCCAAGTAGTTGACCATTGTTCAATTATTTCTAAGCTTGACTTAACAGAATCATCAACATTAGTAGGGTCTTTTGGATCAAGTTTAAAATGTAAAGAGGTATCATCAGCATAAATGTAGCACTGGCCACTCAGATTGTCAGGAATATCATTAATATACAGGATAAATAGTATTGGTCCTAGAATAGACCCTTGTGGAACACCACAGTTAAGAAAGTCAGTATCAGAGAGTTTTGAAGATTCGCCACCTACAAAGAATTATCTGTCAATCAGGTAGGACTTGAGTATATTGAACAGTTGACCATGGATACCATAAGATTTAAGTTTGACTAATAGAAGATTATGTGGTACGCAATCAAAACCGGCCGAGATATCAGGGAACATAGATTTGAGTGTATGGGCTGTTAGGTTTAACATTTTGTTGGTTATGTTATCAGGACCACATGCTTTTGAAGTATCTAGATTTAAGTATAAGTTTCATTATCTCATGCTGGTTGGTAATTGCGGATATAATGAAGGAATTTGTTCTCAATGGAAAGTTTGGTAGTGTGTCATTATCGTTGACCTCCATGTGATTTTTTCCTGATTAAATATTTCATAATAAAATTGGCTAAGTCCAGGTTTTTATTAATTGGGATCCCAGTTCTGTCATCTATAATGCATGCTATTTCTGATTTCTTAAAATTATTTCCAAGGAAAGATCTTACTAATTTTCCAGCAATTCTTATCATTCTTGGTCATATCATCTATAATAGATTTGATTAAATTTTTGATTAAGTTTGTAACTTTTGTTGCAATTGCTTGCTGATCATAAAGTAGTTTATTTTGATGAGAAGGATGTTTTATCATTGAATTGAAGAGCTTTTTTCTTTTACATTTTATGAGGTATGTGTTTTTTTGTAAATTGACATTAGTAATCAACAAAATTCATGGTTACTATATTCATATCTAGGTCACCATCTAAGATGATACTTATCAAGATAAATGTTAGGGGTATCTCTTCCCAGAAAGGATAGCAAGCGGAGAATGAGCATCTGAATTCTTCAAGGAGGACTAATTCCTTTTAAAGATAGAAGTGGAGCTGACATGACAATAGGGAGGTTAAGTTACACGTTTTTAGGAGAACCTGTGCGTGAACGAGTAAAATTATGGTCCTCTAAGAATTAGTTTTCCCCTTCGTAGTGTTTATTTGCCCGATGCAGTGTAAAGCTAAAAGGTAACTAGTTGTAATAAGGGCCCTGGGAAAACCAATAGAGACGATGGACAGAAATCCTTGGGGTCATATTATTATGCGTTCACGTACAAGCTTTCCTAAAAACCTGTAACTTAACCTCCCGAATAATGATAATATTACGTTAATACAACGGCATATGTTTGCTCCACATTTTACTTACAATAATTGCGTATAACCTTACCATAGCACCTAAACATAGGTTTGCTCCAAATACCATTGCGTAGACATTCGAGTATCCGTCCTCCGTGTTTTAAATACGGCTTTCTGCACTTTCCACTTATACGATCACCTACTTCGTTTCCTGTGAGTCGCGAGGCGCCAATTAAATCTCCGTATTTTGGTAGGACAAGGTCAGGGCAGTCACCAGTATTTGATACTGAATCAAATGTTCATAAATCATCTACGTTAGGCTTATATGGTTTGGTCATAATAAATACTTTACATTTTATTGTTTTTAGATTAATTACTCAACAAATATAACAATTTCAGCATAAGTTACATGTCAAGTCATAATTGATATCTGACTGATGAAAGCATGCTCAATTATTTTATCTAATTAGCACTATTGACGTTTAAAAAATGTTTCGTTAAAAAATTGTAATCAAGATAGACGTAAGCTCCAGAACGTTGATATATTGATAACAAAAAAAGCATTAACATGGTACGTACTTCTACACACGGGCATTGCAATATCCCATACTAATCCATCGGTGAAATTCCCAGGGAGATCTAAGCTGTATCTTTTAAAACAGGTCAATGTAGCAGTTCCGTCCAATGTGTACCCCTTATTGCAAGCGAACGTCACTGTGTCACCTAATTTATTGTTCGTCGTCTTACCCTCCGCAACAAAACCATGTTCGGGAGAACTCAAAGCAGGGCAGTGTGTGTTGTTCGGCTCTATCCCGTAAAATGTATTGTATACAGAATTTAACATCGAGTTATTGTTTTTCAATAAATAAGTGGTTTAAATCGTTTCATCATTATCAATATCTGTCGAAATGATATAAAAAATTATCATTCGCAACATCCCTCGTCACGCCAAACAAGTTCTCAAAACGACCTACCCCGTCCGAAAAATCGTCAAAATTGCATTGAGTATATACTGACCGAGGACCTCATTCGTTCGATAAAGCGTGGCGGCATACAGGCAGATAACAGCATGAACGAGTTATGGTATGGCCGTTAGAAAAAGTTTGAACAGGCTCGAAATATTGGAGCACTGGGGCACATTCGGAAACGTCAATGAATGTTCGTAAAAAGATCTCGTTCATAATGAAGAGGGCCATCACTTCCGTTCTATGTACGACCATCTACTTTTAGGCCATTGTCACTCAACTAATTGGAGAACGGTGTGACCGCCAAAAAAATCATATTGTCTCGAAGTTCTGAACCACTGTACCGTCTGACAACGCTCGCGAACTTTGTAAAAAGCTTGAAAAACATCCATCTATGTCCTCTCGATATCAGCTAAATTCAAGCACACGTTCTGCAAACATTTCACGAACATAGTGACAACTTGTTTGGGGGGAGAATAGGAGGCAAGTTAAAGGTGCAACAATTAGTGCAGAGGGGTCATTCAACGATCATGGACCAGTGCCAAAATATATTTAAGTTTGGATATTTCATCAAGACTAACATCTATTTTTATTATCTACAAAGAAACCCCCTAGATAAACATTATTTCAGCTGATATTCCTCTTGAAACATGGTGGATCTTAAAAATATAAAAGTGGATTTCCCCTTTTTTAAGCTTTGAACTGAATTTACACTTCTTAAGGCTGAAATTGATAGTTTATCCATACATTTTAAGAAAATAGGTATGTCAAAGAAGATGTTAAGCCAAATGTTGCCTTGATAGCTCAGAATTTTTTTTGATTTTCCTATTTTCTCCCTACAGGCCTTGTTGCCCCTTTTGTTTAATGTCGAGTGACACCAGAGGTTTTAATAGCTGGCATTTTTACTGGACTGGTCTCTATTATATTCTTACCTATACAAGTAGGCGTGTCCTGTGTCCACGTACGGTCCCATCTACACTTGATCTCGGAATGCCCAGTCAACATTAAACCAATTCTACATCTGAATCGTATTCGATCGTCATATATGTTGTTACTTGTTTTGCCCTCTATTACTTCTAAACCCGTATTATCACCTAAGGAAATGTCTTGGCATCGACCTCCAACTGTAGAAATCACAAAATAGCCTTCCCGTAACTCCTATACTTAGATATTTAAATTTCATCCCGAGACCACGGATTGTAAAGCTGATATATTACGGTCTGAGTCATATAGTGTTTTTAACATTTTTTACGATACCGATTTTCAAGGTAAGATGTAAAAAGAAGTCGCACACATTCACTTGTTCTGGGTGAACGTAACACATGTACATGTACGTTTATTGATAAGTACTCGGGAGAAGAGAACCCGGGGCAGAGACTCATATCCATTGGACAGTCATCGTTCTTTGTTCCTGTTTCGGTTACATGATTTTGCGACGTTTCAAGTGGCCAATGCGCATGAGTGACATGCCGGAAAAGAAGCAACTAGATATGTGATAGAGGCAAATGTTGAGAAATAGTTCACCCTTTGGATTCCACAATGTCTATCATTTTGAAATGTGGATCGTGCAACCGAATAATTAGGCCTAGTACTCTAGAATAATTGTACTCACATTTACACGTCATTGGTAGACCACTCCATTGACCACCGTGCAGACAAAGTAATATCAATTTACCAAATGCTTTGTAATGCTTATTACATTGGAATGTTACAGTGTCCCCTTCTTTATTTTTTCGAAGACGACCAGCTACTAGTAAGGCATTGTCAGGTATAGTCAGGTCACTGCAAGTGCCACCGGTTCCTTTGGATTTTAAAATTTGATAAACAGGTTTAACGTAAACATGTCCACCCCGAAAACATAAATGTATATAGAGGATGCAGCACATATTGCTCCAAGTCAGTCAAGATGTTACGAGATGCGCACTCGTTGTTTTAACAATTAATTCATTATAAAGATGGCGTCGGTAAACTTGGTTACGTGACTAGTTTTCTGCTCTTTCAAGAATTTGCGGGATTTTGAATTGGGATAACAAGAGCCATTTGTTGAGGGTTCAACGGAGGAAACCTTAAACTTTTATCATGGTAAGTGAGTTCATTATGTTACTCATGTTGTATTAAAGTTTTGGAGCTGTTGGTTGTATATTTGAAGACGAAAATGCGAATTTAATGAAGCCCCTGAGTTTTTGAAGTATTTTCACAGTACATTTGCTAAGCTTGTAAATTCGTATATTAACATCACGTAAGCTAAGATTTTGTACTTCTTCTTCAAGATAAAAGAATAAATTAACGTTAAATGATATATCTTTTACATCAAGAGGTCAGATTAATCCGTTTACACGAAATGAAAATCTTCCGATTTACAACTTTTTTTCGAAATGTGTCCTCCATTTTTCGATTTTTTGCCCTTATTTTCTCTTTATTCCCGTATTTGCTGCGAAAGTTATGATCACATTTACAATAAAACTAACATATTTTCTTATTTTGTATCTTATTATTGCCACGATTGTGTCACATCACTTCAGAAATGGATTCATAGACGAAGTTTTATTTTCCCATTGAAATAACATGTAGGTGCTGGACAGCTACTCGGATAAATAAATATTATGAAAAAATGTCCTGAGCTAAACCATTATCAAAGGTGCACTATTTGTCTAAGTCAATAGGTGTAATGAATTATGTTGTGTTGTTTTACTGGTATATCATTGTATGTCAATCAATACATGTATAGATGTCTATAAATGGTGTCATTATTTTTAGGGTTCTCAGTCAAGTGCGGTATAAAGCAGTGCTGTAGTTGAATCCCTCCAGAAAAGATATGCTTTGAATGAAGGATGCAATAAGTTACTATCAGGTAAACTATGTTGTTTTATATAAAAAATAGTATCACTATTGGAGCTTTTGGAGCTCCCTGCGCTCGCCTGACTATGGACCTGAATAGGATGTGTCTTCTAATGGTTTGCTTGTGGCATTTTTGAATAGGGTTCACATAAATACACATTTTAGATTTACATTTACAGAATACATTTTACATTTTTTACATTTTATTAACCGTAAAAAGTGTGCATATTATACCAGCTTCAACAGTTACAGGTTTTTGCCTTGATAACATACAGTTGTACATTGTCAAACATAGGTGCACTATTTGTTTGTCTTAGTGAATAGGTATATTGAGGCATTTTGTGTTGATTTACTGGTATATCATTGTCTGTCAATTAATACATCACAGATTCACATGTATAGGATTCTATGATTTTTTTCATTATTTGTAGGGTTAAAGTAGCGCAGTAGAAAGTATAAAGCAGTGCTGTAGTTGAATCCCTCCAGAGAAGATATATGCTATGAAGGTACTATATAAACATAAAAACTTACAATTGCGTAAACTATGGTGTTTTATATAAAAAATAGGCTAGTATATCATCAATATTATTAATATTTTGATATAGGGATTCATAAAAATGTTATCTATGATGCTTTGTGATTATCGCAAAGTTAGTAAGCTAATAAGCAATGCTGTTGATGCCATTAGATACAATCGTATGTACCGTTTTGAAAAAGTTGCCATCCACAATAGGGTGTTTCATCCTTGCTGCAAGCAGCAAAGGTATTTTACAAGTATTTAGGCATAAATGAAGTCTTTTGAAGAAGGATTGGGTGTTTCACTTTTTGATTTTATTTTGGATCAAGATGGAGTTTTGCCCAGTTGGTCTCCTGGTAGAGGAAAGCAAGCACAAACAATTTCAGTCAAATCCGTTGATGTTTAGACCTCCCCCTTCCACATTTTCTGACACCCATTCACTACCATGTTAATAATTGTTTGAATATTGCAGAAAGGATCAATTTCATCATGTTTGAGACCCATGTTCTACCAAAGGCATTACAGTGATTTGCATCAAATTCATTTGAAATGTTGTTCAGTATGCTTTTGATCCATGCACTTCACCAATTTATAACATATTGTGAATCTTTTTGGAGATATTGTATTTCATATTGTAAGGAATAGATTGGTTAAAAGTTAAAAGTTGCTTGTAATTTTGTCACCCCCTATAGATCTGATTCTTCCTTTAAGCATTGATTAATAAGAATGTGCTATATATCATTAACGTTAACCTGCATCAGTTTTTAGCAAGAATCAGGTATTGATATCAAGAATTCGAGAGTACCTATGATCCCCAAAATTAAAGATGCATCAGCTTAGGCTATCAGATTCCACCTTTTAAAAGTTCAGGACCCTACATTTTCTAATTGTGTGGTTATGGCACCCTCAAAATGGCAAAACTCCATTGTGCGTGAAGCAATTTGAAGTTTGGTAGAACATAGGTCTCAAATATGATGAAAATGACAGATTATTAAGTTATTAATATGGTAGTGAATAGACGTCAGAAAGTGTGGTAGGGGGAGGTCTAAACATCAACAGATTTGACTGAAATCTTTGTGTTTACTGTCCTCTTTCAGGAGGTCAACTGGGCTATACTCCATCCATTGATCTTGAAAAAAAGTCAAAAAATGAAATAACCTAATCCTCAAGCTCCTCAAATTCATTAGAAGCATATTCTCTGATTCTAGGCCTATTTGAAAAGAATTCATCAAAGTGTAGCAATTATAGGCACTTAGCAGTTAATCTGAAAACATGCTATGGGCTGATGTGAAAAAATCATTCTACCCTGGTGTTATTTTTATTCCAGGAATATGAGAAGGACTTCTGCAAAATACCTGGCAAGTTTTATCCACCCTAGTGAGACACTAACATGCAAGAAAATGGTGAGTTAGGGTAATATGCAATATTAAATATGATATTTAATAAATAAAGATTCCTATATCATTCTACTGGGAATATAAAAAAGCATGAGGGCATGGACTAACCCATACACAAAATCTGGAAGGTGAAGCATGAGTGCATTATCAGAATGGGTTAGTACATGCACAAATGCTTTCATTTCCATTCAAACATGACCATGCTCTAATTGAATTTCTCGACCAGTCAGAATGCAGCATAGCCAATAACGAATGTTCTCTATTTCTCCATAGATGCACAACCGTGCATTATTCAATCATTCGGGTGTCTCTATATTGTGACGTCACACCTATGAATGGCGATAATAACAGCAACTATGGGTATTTTATGAACCCCAATCCTTGAATACGACACAGAAATTCAACTTTTATGTTCGATACTTTATTTCAGGCAGAGTATATCTTAGCCTTGGTTAACCATTGAATTGAAAATTAAAGGCTTAAAGTCAGTTTATTATTGAATATGGGGGCTATTTAGTGTGATTCAAATGTCATCATATACTTTGTTTCTTTTTTATGAATTATAAATATTTTCACTGAAATTGTTGATTTTAATGAGGATTGTTAGAACTTGAAGACTATTGATCCAAATGGCATAAATACAGGGTGTCAAATAAATTTATTCTCCCCTCATAAGCTTAAACACCAACACAATGTTGCATAACTTTTTTGTCTGCATGGTCATTGTATACAGACTGTGTTATATGAAAACAAGTGGTGCAGATATCATGTGCGCAAGATGGGATATTAATGGTCATTTTTGAATGTGAATTTGTGATATTTCATAAACCAAGCAAGGCATGCTGGGTACCCGATCATAGTCACTCATTTGTAGAAAATACTTAATTTTGTTTTTCGTTCAATTTATGTGCACCTCGCAGTTGCACACTTGATATCCACACCGCTTGTTTTCGTATAGTACAGTCTCCATAGAGATTAATTGTTCTTCTGAATATACATGGAAGCCATCATGGAAAAACTCCACAAGAAGTTTCAGATTAGTAGTCCAACCTTCTGTCCCGGCAATAACTTTTTACCTATTGGCCCAATTTTATTCTTTCCATACCATTTTAGGCAATTTAGTTTTATTCTTTTTTTCCAGGAACACCCTATGCAGACAGAGCCTGTGGGAAATATTGGGTGGGGAGCAAATGAGCGGAGGGTGCGGAGCTAACGGTCATTTTTGAATTTAAATTTGGGATATTTCTGGAACTAAGCCGTTTTGGGACTTCAAATATACCAAGATATGTGTATTTGACACCAAATATCAATGAAATTGTGAAAATAGTGGTGCAATTCATTTTATAGCGACGCAGTATGCCTTAAACATTTCCCAGACCTATATATTTTGAGACTATCCTTTTAAAACTGCGTCCCCAGCATTCATAAAAAATGGTGTTCAAGATACACTACCCATGCAAATTATTTTTGCATCTTGGAAGCCAGGCAGTATCTGTGTGATTTTATAAAAATTCGGAAATGTTCTTCAGATATGAGCCCCTCTAAATATTGGGTGCGGAGCTACGTTTATGGAGCTGCTCCGCACCCAATATTTAGAGGGGCTCATATCTGAAAAACATTTCCGAATTTTTATAAAATCACACTGATACTGCCTGGCTTCCAAGATGCAAAAATAATTTGTATAGATAGTGTACCTTGAACACCATTTTTATGAATGCTGGGGACTCAGTATTAAAAGGATAATTTCAAAATATATAGGTCTGGGAAAGGTTTAAGGCACACTGCGTCGCTATAGAATGAATTGCGCTACTATTTTCACAATTGTATTGATATTTGGTGTCAAATACACATATCTTGGTATATTTGAAGTCCCAAAACGGCTTAGTTCCAGAAATATCCCAAATTTAAATTCAAAAATGACCGTTAGCTCCGCACCCTCCGCTCATTTGCTCCCCACCCAATATTTCCCACAGGCTCTGTCTGCATAGGGTGAGGAATATGAGATGGAGTTCGTTCTTTACAATACCTGGCAAGTTTTATCAACCCCAA